TCCCTACACATTTTCTCTTGTGCATTTTGGAACAATTAATAGTTGTTAGACAGTTGATGTGTTGAGTGCGGGGATTAGCACATATAACTGGAGACACAAACAACCTGCTTGACACTTGAATAGATATACAGGCAATTAACTACTTAGATAACTACAAAAACATTATTTTATATCTTCTGACAGGTGGCTTGATAGGATAGCCTGAAAAGAGATATAAAGGTTTATATGTCATCATTGTTTTCCATCATCAGAAGGTCATTGGCTTGTCTCCGGGGGGCTATTGGCAGAGGGATGGCAGCTCCTGGTCTGAGATACCTTGTTTATAAAGACACAGGTTTAGCAGTTTTTTGGGAAGCAGGGTCCCTGATAAACCTCTGAAAAGGAGTGAGATTACAGGCAGCATGTCTCCACCTCAAACAGTGCCTCTCCCTGTGTTGAGATGATAAACTCTCATTGAGTTTGCAAAGACCATCTCCCAGCGGCTGTCTTTCAGTTTATATGAACTTTTCAAACGGCTAAGGATCTGACGGAGGATCGTCACCAAGCTGGCAAGCTTTGAACACATCTCCCCTGTGTATTTTCCCCACACCAGGACCACTGTCTTCAGAGGCGTGGGGAGAATAAAGGCTCAGTTCAACAGAAATCAGCAGTCGCCCCCCTTTCCCCACCTCTCCCCACCACCTTGCTTGTCCTGTCACACATGCTCACACTTACACACTTGCAGATTTATGATGCATGTAAGCATTTGATGTGTGCGCTCACTGAAAATACACACACAGACAATTCCAAACAAGTATTCCCTGTAGAGTCACACATCAGACCAGCCTCCTTAAAAATCCTCCATTATAATGAAGTTTTAAAAAAAAGAGAATAATACATTAAGCACCTTAAAGCAGAGGGTGACTTTAAACTACAAAAACATTAAGCAAGCCCAATAAAATATACACTGGAGTTATTTGATCACAGAAGACTCTGGCTAACAGTTGGCTGACAGTTGTAATGACCCCAGCCATTTCATCTGTCAAATCTGAGCAATACTCTGGTGCCTTCTAGTGAAAAAAGTGACCAAACTTCATGCCATATCCATAAGAAGAGAGGTTATTAAGTCAAAGCTACAAAAAGATTTTTTTTTATGTTTATGAACTGAGTGTTAAAAAAAATTTAAGACAACCCATGGCTCTGCTGGGTTTATTTTTTAATAAATCTTGCAAGTAGGCTATAAAAGGCATAGAGGACAGTGTAGATACAGTATACAATAGCAGCTTGCATATCAAAGTGTTGTAGAGGGTCATCCTAGCGTGAAGTCAGCAAAACTCAAATGTAAAACACAAATGCATGTTATTTTAAAGTGGCTCAATCTGGATTGTTCCAGCACTTTATAAAATGGAAAATGACCTGGCTCTGTGGTGTCCAACAACACATTTTAGACAAATAAACATTCAAAGCCCACTTTTGTATTCCTGTTTCTACTTCTGTTGTATATATGTAGAGAGGCCAAACATCCCAGTTCCATCCAGTCCACAGAGTGGGAAGCAGCTTCCCATGGTTCTGCTGGGATGCCACTTTCACGTGGAAACAATCCATGGATCCCTTTAGCCCCTCTGTTGTGACAGAAGATAATGAATTTCACAACATTTGCCATTTGTTAGCCCTGTTTGGTGTAACTGATCTCCTTTTAATCCATGGACTCCCAGTGTGTGTGCAGCTCTGCAGCTGGAATGAAGGAGATGGATCCCATGGCCTCTCTAGGGCTACAGCAGGCCAGCCGAGGCTGGCACACCCTGCCCTTCATCTCCTCAGGCCTTAGACACAAATCGCTGACTTTGACCACTGCACTCTGCTTGTAATCAAGGCCCTCTTTGAATTTTGCCTAGTTTGTCCATCTGTTATATTCATCCTAAATCCCTTATTAAACAGAGTCCACTAAAGGCTCAGAATGAGCATTCTTTAAAGCATTCTTTACCTTGTGAGATGTCCGTGCAGATTCTCAGTCATCCAGGTCATAGTAAACTGAAAAAACATATAAAAAATCAACTGGACTTGGACTAAAACCAAGTCCAGTTGATTTTTTATATGTTTTTTTTTTTTTCAATTTACCATGTGAGATTTGCTACTCTTGTGTATTTACCCAATTTAAAGCCATGATGAGCAGGATTTGAATCAGTTTTACTGCACCAACATGCAGCTATCCCCACTCCAATACAGTGACAGACAATAATCGCTGTCTTTTAGTTCTTTTTTTGTCTCTTTCACCTCCTGGGAGATATTTCAGACCCTTTAGCTGCTAAATGCACCACTATATTCACCAGCTGTCTTTCTGCCATTTGGGGTTAGGCAGTGTACAGTGGGCTTCTTCTCACTTTTGTTCAGAACTTCAACTGACACAATGTCAGGGGGATAGATTACTTAGCAGGAACACTCAAACAACAACAGAGCTTCAGAATCACCGCTTCATATGAAGGCAGGAACAGCCGAAATGCTGAATTCAGGCAATTTTCATTCCTTTCATACCTTCTGACCCTGTCCTTTGTCCTCTTCATAAAACCTGGAATGTGCATCAAAGAATGCACACAATCTTTTGTCCATGAATAAAACATCTGTCATTCATCAGCCTGTACAATATGTGCTGATTTAACACAGCACAACAGCTTTGCAAGACAGGGAAGCTCCAGAGTGTATACTGTGCTGCAAAGTCCAGCTACAACACAGTGTCATCTGTCTTCCTTTAGAGTTTACTTGAACTTAAACTAGATTAAGTTAATTCATTTGTGAATTAATTATGTTTTAAGTACTCTGGAAGGCTTGTGCTAGCCAGTGCAAAGATTTGCACTTTAAACAGTCTGTACCTTAAAAGGGTGTCCAAGATAATACATAGGCTGTCAGTGTTACACTGGCACCAGTTTTGCATTTTTTTTTTGCATACAATTGCAGTTTACTCAACGTGAGGAAAATATTCAGATTGAAAACAGTTGTGTAATATCTTCTGATTTGTCATCCAGGATGTCCTGGCCTTTGAGACTTCACATTTACAGTATAAATGAAGGTGAGTGTTGCAAACTGGGCATGGAGTTTGAAAAGTACGGACATTTAGGATGCAAGAGAGGTCTAATGATAGATGGTATTAAGTCGCATTAAATGTAAAATGCAGGAAAATATTGGAAAGGCAGCATTTTACAAGCCTGGCATACACCAAAAACAAATCACACCAACTTTGTTGAGCAGCAATATTAAATAGCCTAGCCTAGCTAGAATATTCCTTTAATTAGCCATAGACTTCACGTTTTTATGTTCTTGTGTGCATGCATGTTTTGGATTTTGGTTATCCCATGATAAAAGATTTGCAGGGCTTTTTCCGTTCTTGAAACATATCCCTAAACTTAGTTCGCCCCCTACCTGTTGGAAGTCCGGTTGTAACAGGCGGCGGCGCCGCCTCACCGGTAGATGGCGATCAAGCCGTAGTTTCCTTTGTAGTACTTCCGCCCTCACAGAGGTCCGAGAGCGCGATCAGCCGGTGCCAGATCAAAATACAAACAATGGGCAAGAAGCACAAAAAGCACAAGTCCGAAAAGCACGGTTATGCAGGTAATGGTTCGTTGTTCACTTGCAAATGCTTGAACTGCATTTCCTTTAATAGACAGGTTTAGCTAAATCCTCTGTTTTGCGCTTGGTCGTTGTGTTAGCACGTCCGCGGTGTTATTAATTTCTTACCTTGCTCATATGGCTAGAAAACTTCCGGACTGGTTTCTCTGTATATTTTACTCTCGTAGAATTTCGTACCATTCAGCCAAAACACAAAACCGTTGATTTAAGATTACAAATAATGGAGCGTTAGCTGTAGCATCTGTAAAAGGCCTTCCACATACGCTAGCTGTTAGCGGCTGTTGTTTCTAGCATCTCTCCGTTGTCAAGGGTCTAGCCTCTTATCAATCAGTCTGCTTTGTTTGCCAAGTATCCAGCATAACACACATACATACAAACCATGCAGACCGTCAATTTAAAATGGACAAAAATCTAAAATAGACAAGGACAATCCGTAAAATATGATAACCTTAAAGGGATAAAAACGATCCATCAAGTGTGTATGTGTAAATAAAATAAATTCATAAGATCAAGCGATTATCTTGCATTACGGATAAAAAACGAGGTGTTTAATATTCTGATTGCCTCCGGGTATGGACTCTTACCCTTTATGAATTAACTTTAAGTTGTCTAAATGTTCTTCCAGAAAGCAGCAGAAAGAGGGAGGCCACTGGATGAGAGCCCTCCCTGATAATATTTAGTACCTTTTGTTTACGGTGACTTTTGTAGATGGAAGAAACTGAAGAAAGAGAATGGCCAGCAAATTTAGATGCAGTCTTGAGCACCTTCTTTGGTGCTTTTATTTTTTCTGATGTCAGACTACTGTCCTACATAGCAACAGAAAAGATTGGACGCTTTTTTCATACAGTCATGGCCAAAATATTGGCACCTCTGCATTTCTGTCAGATAACACCACTTCTCCCAGAAAATCATTGCAATCACAAATTCTTTGGTATTGTCATGTTCATTTCTTAGGTTTGGATTGGAACAACACAAAAAGCCAAATCTGATCCATTCCACACAGAACTCAAAAATGGACTCGACAAAATTATTGACACCTTTTCAAAATCATCACAAATAGTTGTATTTCAAGCATGTGATGCTCCTTTAATTTGTAAAGAAACTCACCTGTAGCAAACAACAGGAACTGGCAATATAGAAATCACACTTGTAGCCAGTTAAATTGGAGAAAAGTTGACTTAATCTTTGTGTCGTGTGGACCACACTGAGCATGGAGAAAAGAAAGAAGAGCAAAGAATTGTCTGAGGATTTGAGAAGATTTGTTTTCAGAAAACAAATTGAGGCCTTCAAAGAAAAGGAACATGGTTCCTACAGTCAAACACGATGGAGGTTCACTGATGCTTTGGGGTTGCTTTGCTGCTTCACACACTGGATGTCTTGACTGTGTGTATGGCATTATGAAATCTGAAGACTACCAATGAATTCTGGGTCACAATTTTGGGCCCAGTATCAGAAAGCTGGGTCTCCATCAGAGGTCATGGGTCTTACAGCAGGACAATGAACCAAAGCACCAGAAATGGTTTCAGACAATGAGCTGGAGAGTTCTGAAGTGGCCAGATCTAAATCCCATAGATCACCTGTGGAGAGGTCTCAGAACAGCAGCTGGAAGAAGGAACCCTTCAAATCTGAGAGACTTGGAGCAGCTGGCAAAAGAAGAGTGGTCCCACTGTGGTGTGGGTGTAAGAAACTCACTGATGGTTACAGGAAGTGATTGATTTCAGTTATTTTGTCCAAAGGGTGTGCTACCAAATATTAAGTTGAGGGTGTCAGTAATTCTGTCCAGTCCATTTTTTGGAGTTCTGTGTGGATCAGTTTTTTGTGTTATTCCAATACAAACAAAAGAAATTAACATGAGAATACCAAAAAGTTTTTGATTGCTACAATTTTTTTGGGAGATGTGATGCGTTATCTGACATAAATGCAGGCGTTCCAGTATTTTTGGCCATGACTGTATCTGCTGATTCATCTGAATTAGTTATTAGTCCCACAAATGTTGTATCATCAGTGAATTTAAAAACCTTGACTGATGTATCATGAGAAGTGCAATCATCTGTATTTTGGGATTATAACAACAGAGATAAGCAACAACCCAATGGAGCACCAATATTAACTGATAGTGGTTTGAAAAAGATATTATTGATTTTAATTGAGGGAGAGAAGCTGAGTTGCAGTTGGCTTTACTTTTGTTGTTGTCACTTATCTTAAAATGTTCCCAAACTGCTGAAATTTCTTCTCTGCTACCTAAAGAGTGGCTCAGTCAGCATGAGGTTAATATGTTGCCTTTAACTGATATCAGTGGGACAACTTTTATGAGTAGGAGTAGAGTACCAGATGATGGTATTGGAATCAGTGCATCCCTATTAACAACTTGTTTTCTGTTCTGCAAGAAATCAAGGATCTAGGGACACATGGCTTCATTGACCCTGGCTTTGATCAGCTTATGAAAAAGCTTCTCTGAGATAATGCAGTTGAAGGCAGAAGTGTAATCTGTAAATATAGTACATACAGTATGTATGAGGTGATTCCAGATGTTCTAACACATTGTGGAGACACAGTGACACTGCCTCCTCCACTGATCTGTTTCTTCTATATACAGACTGATTTTAATCAAGCGGGATATTAGGTAAAAAAATTCTTGTACCAATGTTTTTTAAATACCTTCATTATAACTGAGGTACGTGCCAGTGATCTGTAGTCATTTAAACACTTTTGGCCACAGGTACAACGACAGAATTTTTGATTTGGAGTTATTGGTTTGGTATCTGCAGAATATGGCGAGAGGCCACTGAAGCTGGTGTTAAAAGTGTCTGGTCACGAAGTGACGACGGGAAAATCAAGCCTGGATGCATTTTATGACGAACAACCGGTGGACTGTGACAAGCCCAAAGACAAGAAGAAGAAAAAGAAGAAGGATAAAGAGAAACGCTTTGGTTTACCAGAGGATGACAAGGGAAAGAAAAAGGTAATGTCCTATTACCCAGATAGTCATCAAGCATGTCAAGCCTCTTGAATTAATTTCCATCTTAGCGCTTGTTTATGTAATGTTAGATTACAAAAAAGAAGAAAGGACAAGATGCAGATGGAGACGACGACAGGGAGCAAAGCAGAACTCCTATCCGTTCAGAGTTGGATAAACTGGAAGGTAGTGTCGGATTTCTTCTTGTTTGGAGTTTTTGTTCCAAACATTTTTAAACTTGGCTTTTCCTTTAATTTCTCATCTTTCTTGCAGAAAAAGAACAGACTCCGCTGCAGGAAGCATTGAACCAGCTCATCAGGCAGCTCCAAAGGTGCAGCAGTAATCACTTATGGATTTGAGAGCTGTTGCTTGTTCAGCAACAAGTCTGTGTTTGGAAATATATTACTGACAAACGTGCATCTCTCCCTCTGTCTGTGTTTTTTTATGTAGTGTTATTTATTTGTACATACTTTATTTGTGTTTTCTCTGTAGGAAAGACCCCAGTGCTTTCTTCTCATTTCCAGTGACGGACCTTATTGCTCCTGGCTACTCTTCAATCATCAAACGGCCTATGGACTTTAGTACAATGAAGGACAAAGTAAAGAAAGAGTTGTACCAGTCATTGGATGAGCTCAAGGTATCAGTCTGTGTGGCACATATGTTTTAGTACACTTTTAAATATACCCACACAATGGGTTGAGCCAAAATACTTCAGAGAGGAGTATAATGTAACGATAAAAGATGTATTGACATTGCATGGACCAAGGCATTTAGACCAGAGTTGTACATCTTGAAAACACTTTACAAATGCTTTTTTTAAATGTGTGATTTGTTGATGCAGGTGGATTTCAGGATTATGTGTGAAAATGCCATGATTTACAACAAACCTGATACAATCTACCATAAAGCTGCTCGGAAGCTGTTACACTCTGGAATGAAGATCTTGAGTCAGGTAGGGAACTTCAGGAGCGGCTTTTTAACTGCATACATGTGGTGTTTCTCAAGGAGCGAGGAGGCTGCTGGAGGATCCACAGCCAAAGATAAAATGAGACGATGCTTCACAGACATTTTTAATGAACCGACATGCCCCTTTTTCAGGACTCGGTGATTGAACTCTTCAAATGAAGGACAGAAGGAATGAACGCCTCATGTTCTTAATAATGCATTTCCTCGAGTCCTCTCTCCTCACATTTTCCTCACGTTATGTGGATAGGGCGCAAACAAAAGACACAAGTGAGGGGAAACAATGTCGTTTATATGACACTTCAGAAACACCCACAGACGATAAGAAAGTTGTAGGCAACTACTCTTATTAAAGTTCTGTGTTTTCGTATGAACAGTTTTTCGGGGGTTGTTGTTTATATATATAATATATTTTGCAATACAGTATATATTATATATCTAAAATCTATCCTTGCACTATGATTGTATACAGCCGCACCACTGTCATTGTCCAGGAAAACAAAACAAGAATGAGAGAGGTTTTAAAATTAAGATACTACTGTTTAACCTCTCGCTCATTCAACTTAAAGTTGTAGTGTTGTGAGTGATATTAATTCCACATGGAGCTCTGGGACAAAACTGGTCATTGCTTTTACAATAATGCAACAGATGGGGGCAGAATTTAGCCTCAAATTGTTCTCAAAGTGATTACGTAAGGCATCACCAGCACTTCCACCAGGCCAGACAGGCACTTTTTCTTCCAGTTATTCAATTCCAATCATTCAGTTTTCTTTTCTGATACTAAGTGTAACAGATGTCTTCACTGTAGGAGAGGCTGGAGAGTCTGAAGCAGAGCATAGAGTTTATGTCTGGCCTCAACCCTTGTGCCAAGCAAGCAGTGAAGTCTGAGGAACAAGGGGGCACCGGCCTGGACGGAGAGGGCCCTGTGACCGCAGAGACCAGCGAGCTCTCCCAAACACCCAGCACACCCAGGTCTCTTAACCTGCAGACTTCTTATATGTTAAATATTTCCTAAAATCTCATATATCATTTCAGCCTAACTCCTTTGAAGCTAGGATAGTCCAAATTACAATGGGATCTTGTATATGCAATACATAAACCCCTTGAAACTCCAAATGTCCTCTTAAAAATTTGGTCTATTCAGCTCAAGTTATCAGCTTGCCTGCCACAGTCCCATATTTTTCTAACTGTCAGCCACACATCAACAAGGAACGGCTGAGATAACTAATCAGGCAGTAGTCAAGACGATGCACGTTGATGCAAACACTTTCCCAGTCTGTCAGTGTACAGTTTCAACAAGTTTGTTTTCCTCAGTCACGCTTCCAGTGTAAAGCTGTGGGCCTAGAATGTGAGGAATGCCTCTCGGCATGCTGGGTCTTGTTCCCTCTCATGGCTGTACTGTTCATCTTTTAAATTCGCATGATGTAACACAAAGTGACATGTTCAATATGACTCACTGGAACAGCCTAAAAAGAACAGCATTGTGCTGATTTTCCTTCACCTAACTTTTACCTTTTAATTGTACAAAATAGTTAAAGATTGTGATGGCATTTTTTGGCATCCATAAATTGCTTAGATCTGTCTAAGAAATGAAAGTTGAACAAAGATGGAAAAAGCTGACATTTTTTCTCCCTGAAGTATTTTGCTGCTGGGTTCATATTTTTTATTCTTGGACCAAAATGAAAACCTTTTATGTTCATGGTCAAAGTGTCTTATCTGTCATCGTTCAATTTGTGTTTCAATGACAGACAGGACAAGGACTCCAAAGACGAAGCGGCAAAGGCAGAGAAAGAGCTGGAGGAAATCCGCAAGGTCATCGAGGAGTCAGGAGGAAAGCTGTCCAACAGGGTGCTGCAGTGTGGTGTGAGGAAACAGGGTTATACTCAGGATGTCTTTTTTCAAATGACTTAAACCCACTAATAATGTTGGTCTCATTGATTGTTGAGTGTTCTTCATGTTCATCCCAGTTCTCTTACTGGGAAAGAGATTTTTCTGGGTGTTTTCCTGCCACTGGGCACAAGCTCACAATTTATTTGTTGTGTAGTTTGAGTTTTCAAGGAGGAAGTCTGACGGCTCCACCACTCTGGCTATCCTCAACCCAGCAGATCCATCAGCTGGTGGTAAGTCCAGCTGGAACCTTTGTAGAGCTCATCTAACTTTAATTCACCAGAAAGCCTTTAAGACTAAAATATTAAACATTCACAGGTCAGATGTGAATATGTGCTGGTTTCCTGTGATTTGGGGGTGTTGCTCAGACAAAAGTAGTTAGTAAATGTGCCTGAGAAAGTGTTGGGACATTTTAAACTATTTTTAAATCTAATCAGTTAACTGAGAAAATAATCAGCAGACTTATTGATAATTAAAATAATTGTCGGTTGCAGCAATTAGCCTCCAGCATGTACAGAGAGAGGTAACCGATGAAAGTTGGTAAAATGTCAGTGTGTGCTGTTTTTAGAGGTTGGTTACTGTCCTGTGAAACTGGGCATGATGTCCAATCGGCTGCAGAGTGGTGTGAACACCCTGCAGGGCTTCAGGGAGGACAAGAGGAACAGGATCACTCCAGGTCCTCTGCTTTGCTGACTTCATTTATTATGAGCTGTAATATCAGATGTGTGTATGACTGATAATGAACTGTCTTGGGTGTATAACACTTTCTGCAGTGTCCTACATGAACTATGGGCCGTTCACCTCCTATGCACCCACCTACGACTCCAGCTTCGCCAACATCAGCAAGGAGGATTCTGACCTGATCTACTCGTTCTATGGAGAGGAGTCCAGTCTGCAGGGCTCAGACAGGTATGTACAGTGTGACCATGAACACACTCCAGCTCTGTGGCATTTACACAGAACGTCACTCAAGGCAGTCCTGGCTGATTTACTTTCCAGATGTTTCTCTTTGTCATTGAGTTGACCTGGTCTGGAAGAGGTCACAGTCTGGAGACAGGACGTGATCCTGACTTTATCTCATTGATTCTTGGTCTCCTGTCTGTTGTGTATGATTATGTCACGGTACATTGGGCCTTTGCTGCAGGCCAAATAAATAAGCAAATAAACAGTTATGAAATTAATGATCACAAATGAATTGTGGAAACAGTTAGTGAAGTAATAAAACTCAACTCATAATTTAAAAATGTTATTTCCTCCATATCTCCATAAAAGCTATATGACTATTTTTATTTCATTGTGTACATTTTTATTTTAAAGCCAAGCATGTATTAAATAAAAGCTCGTCTCATAATGACATTGTGCTCAATAACGCATCAGACATTTTTATTTAATGCCTTTTTAATTCATGACACATTCATGATAATATTTTAGCAGCAGTTGAAACCCTTTGTTACTGTACTTAGGTTTGTCAATATGACTTGTGTTAACTGCAGCATTTTATTTTTCTGAATATGTACAGCATTTTTAATAGAATAAATACTTGAATGCATTTTATTTATTTGCGGGAGTTCAGCTTATGTAGCCAATGTGTTTTTAGCTTCAGTTCTCTTTTCTTGCATGCTTCACAGAAATTGTTACTGCTTGGTCAGTTTCCTTTGTGTCATCTAGTCAGGCCTTTATTTCTCTTCATCAAAAACTGTTTGTCAGTGTATAAAAATCTGCAGTTATTGTTAGTAGCATATGTGTCTGCCTTAACAGTGTGTGGGAGGTGCAGTTTCAGCAGTGTTAATATTGACTTTTCATCATTCTTACCTAATAGTGATTCTGATTTTCATCCCACTGCTGCTTAGAAGACAGTTGTTTTGTGTGTGTGTGTGTGGCAGTTTATCAGAGTTCCTGGCCAAATCAGACGAGTACATGTACAAACTGGCAGACAATCTTCTGGATGCAGTGACAAACGGAGAGCATTCAAAAACTCTGATGGAGACTGAGCCAGTAAGCACCTGCTGTAAAATCTTAACTGATCCAAGATGGCTTCCGTTGTTTGTTTGTAAAGCATAGGATGAAATCCGAGTGTCAGTTTATTCAGTAAGTTTTTGTTTTGTTTTTTGCTTGTCCACCAGGTTGGGGAGGCAGCAAATACACTAGAGAGCAAGGATGACACTAAGGTGAGAAAGTGAACCAATCTGACCTGCTGTGTTGTCAGTGCTCAGCAACATCTGTACATTGTGTCCCACTGTACAGTACAAATAGAAATGGACACCACATTTATAATGAGGAATATCAGTGTGTGCTACGTCATACAGCTCCCAGTAAAGCACATGTTCTTGCGTTACCCTATCATGTGGCTTCTGGATTTCATTTTTTGAATATAGATGGTCTTTGCAGATGGCTGCTGCATCATCCAGCTGTGTCAACATAGCAGGAGGCAACTTTAGCTGTGATCCATTTAGCAAAGAACATTTCCCTTCAGGTCGCAGTAGCATTACTTGCTGATGGAGTATTTGGAGAGGCCCATGTTTTCTTTCAGTGCCCGCTGCCTGCACGGCTGAATTGCGCCTCAGAGCAGCAGAGGAAACCAAAGCACAAACCCTTCCATCAGGCACACAGCAGCCCCCTGTTGTGCCTGTTTGCTGCCCTTGGCTGCGCTCCAGTTTACTCTCATCCCCTGCTCGGGTGGTGCAGCTTTTCATCGTTTGATTTCACTGGAGAAAAGAAACGGCGTGAATAAAGAAGCTTCAAAAGGCTTGTGTGTTTCCTTGAAGCATATGCTGTCTAGTGAGGAATGCATTTTTCTAATTTGACTCAACATGATGTTTCCCCTCTGTCCCTCATAGGTAGCTGAACCCGAACCATCTATCTGCAGCAGGCTCAGCTTCCTGCACGCTGCTGCAGGCCTGCAGATGGCTGAGGAGCTCTCTGGAGGTAACAGTTCTAACTTACTTAGTCTTTATTAGATTTAAGGATGCATTTACAGTTATTTTGATTATTTTCCCCCTAATTTTAGGATAGGGCCACAGTTTTTCAAGTCTGTATAATATAATACACTGCCCAGACGTGGGTTGAAGGCATTACTGATCAACGTGTTCCTCCTGTTCATTCTGGCTCTGATGAAACCCTTACAGAAGACAGATGGGAGACAAAATCCACAGTGTTCATCTTGTTTACGCTGAAACTTTTTTATATGAGACGTCAGCAATCTGACATAGTCTAGTAGAAATTTGTAGAACAGAATTTCCCCATTTTGTTTCCACTAACTGTTTATCCTTGCTTCGTGGCAATGGAGAGAGAGTGACACAACGTCAAATTTTGGCCTAAAAAGAAGATGAACACTGTCCTGGACTAAACTTTGAACTCTTAGTTGGTTAGTAACAGATATCTTCACAGTGAGTATAGACAGGAGGAACAATTGCAACAAAAAGTAATATTTTCAATGGCCAGAGTATGTAGGTATTGTTAAAATGCCAGAAAATAATGAAAAGTGCTCAGCACAAGTTGCTTCTGTTGTCCAACCAACAGTCCAAAACCCAAATATATTAAATTTACAATGATATAAACAAGAGAATAACAGCAGTTCCTCAGTTTAAAAAAAAGCTGGCTAGAGCGAATGGAGCTTTATAGTTATCTAAATTGTAGCAGTTTTAAGATGTGATGATTAAATTCAGTGTCTTGTAACCCTGTTTATACTGTGTAATAGTATAACTCTGCACATTGCTGGGCAGACAGCAGAACATGTTCAACTCCAGTGTAACAAGTGTATGATTTGGATATTGAACCTATACAACAGAAATGACTACCGACAGGGCAGAGAGCAGGACACTAATGTCTGAATGTGGTCTCAAAGGAATAAGTGAACAAAGAAATTACACTCTAAATATTGTTGAGGTAATTAAAAACAAACCAAAAAAACACATCTAAAGCACTTAGATGAGCCATTTATCCATTAAACATCCCATTATGTATCCTCCTCTTAGATCTTTTCAACAGCCCGTCAAAGGGTTTTCTCTCTGCTCTCAGACATTAATGTAACACTGTGACTTGGGGTCCCTGTCAGAGGTTGGAAATAATCGATCTCTTGTACTCAGTATATGTAACTAAGGACAGGAGGGGGCAATGCAGGGTAACTGGAGGAACCCAAAGGAAGTGTTAACTCAGTGTTTTTGTTGCCTTTCTCTCTGCCACCTCTCCTGTCAGAGGCCCTGCACTTCCAGCAGAAATTGGACGAAACTACAAAGCTGTTGCACGATTTGCAGGAAGCACAGAAGGAGCGTCTGAGTGCCAGGCAGCCTCCTAACATGATCTGCTTGCTAGCCCCGACTGCCAAGGAGCTGGAGCTGGGTAAGAGCCTCTCAGTTCACAGCCCCTTTATTTCTTCCACATAAGCCGTTGCTGCCAGCTGTAGACCTCTAACTCTCCATTCACTTCTTTAGCATCCGTCTTATACAGGTGTGGTTTGTCTTTTAGCTTCAGACAAGAAATCACACTTAGTGACCTCGTTTCCATGGATGTGACAGTTTAAGTGGCAGTCATTCATTTTTCTTATTGTTGGTGGAGGTGGATGGGTTTTGGATATTTGTACCACACAGAGAAAACGTGTCATTATGACCAGTGCACTTATGTCCTTTTCTTGGATTTTACTTGGACTCAGCTGGCCATCACTGCTCCAGCTAATTAGCACTCTCATAGCTAGGTTAGCTCAGCCTACCTTAGCATGAAGATTGGAAACGAGGTAAGCAGTTCCAGAACTGTCCGAAGGTAACAAATCAATGTTTTGGAGTTGCCGGCAGGTGGATTTTGTTACATTTGGACAGAGCCAGGCTAGCTGTTGCTTCATATTTAACATACAGATAATTACCTAAATGTCAAACTATTCTTTTAACACAGACCCTTCCTGTGCAAAGATGCTCTGGCTGCAGGTTGAGTTGGGTAGCAAAAAACAAGAAAAGGAAGGTTGGGCCAGGCTGCCTTTTAAAATCTAAACTAAACTCTTACTGGTGCTTGATAATGTTTCTTAACTCCCCTTTTATAGCTGAGAAGGTAACTGGGAACCTGGCCGAGCTAACTAGCCAAGTGGCTCCATGTGACGTTAGCAGCATCTTCGGCATCAGGAAGGCCATGGGCATCGCTGTACCTCCAGAGCCACCTGAGCACTTCATAGACCTCTCTACAGGTAGCACACCTTACTACACAAAACAACTTCACATCAGCCTAAATGCATCTTGTGGGACAGGCAGTATCGCAAAGATGTATTCAGAGCTGTGAAATAACATCAACATTCAGTGTGTAATTTAACCTGACACATGCAGCACATTTCAGCTAGAACAGAGCGTTTCTCAAATACCTTTCAATGTTTTCAGTGCAAGAGATGGCTGAACCAATGGAGACCTTGTCCAGCTGCCAGGATGCGGTTCCAGTTGTTGCTGTATAATGAAATTCCAATCACCCTCATTCAGTTAAATAACTTAAGTTTTATACAAAAAAGTGTTTTTTGTGACATTTGTATGCATTCAACCAATAAACATTTTTTAACTATAAACCTTGACTTGTGAAATATGACAAACCATGAATTTAAGAAAACATTTATTCCTGTAACTGTACAAAATTCATTGTCACATTTGTTCATATAAAGGCCAATACATTATTATGTAGCTACAATTAGAGACAAGATGATGGTGGGTGAAGGTAAGGCCAAGAGACGCATCCAGTTTTTAGAGGCAAAGAATGAACCAGATCAGTTCAGGTGATCATCTGAGATGGAGCCACAGAAACATTCACAGCAGGCAGGCAGGTAGATCACACTTCACTCAGTACAGCATAGATGCAGATATGTCACACAAAACAATAAAAACTGGACTTTGTAATCTGAGCAGAAAAACACAGACAGACGTACTTCCTTAGTAGCAAACATCTTGTCATATATGTAATAAACAGTTATTTATTGTGGCCAAATTGCAGATCTGAAACCTAAATGGTGTTCATATGAAGAGTTGGTATACCTGAACCTAAATTGCTGAGGATGCAGTAACTTAAGGATTTGCTGTTTGGCCACAGTGAATCTTTCTACTTTGTGTTATATGAATATATTTTGCTGAAAGGAGAGGAAAAGTTTTTCTATATCTTATATGTACAGCCTGTTTGTGATGTTGGAACAGCTCTGTGTAACTGCCTCACGTTTTGCTCATTACACAGTAACAGAGCAGTGTTCATCTCTTCTCAAGCAGAAAAACCAGATGGGTTTCAAATTATGATCCAAACAGAATCAACTGTTTTGTTTTTAAAGGACCAAAGTGGTCTTCAAAAATTACACAACTGTATTTGGCATTAGAACAATACACATTTTTCTTTCACAAATAACATCTAAGTTAAAGACAGAAAAGTACAAAAGTGACCACTGGAATAGTGAATAGAGAACGATGGTGACTAGGTATGACCACCTCTCCAGCATGGCTGCCACATCCTGATCGGTCCAATGACTCCAAAGTGATTCCAAGTCTCCATATGATCAGTCAGAGACGTCACAAGGACACCACTGTGTTGCAGTCAGGTCTGTGTCAACACTTGGGGTGAGCAGGAGTTTATAAATTCTTTGACTTGTGTATGTGAGTCAGTCTCAGTTCTGCTGGCTGTGGCAGCTGGCCTCAGCTCAGCCCCATACCTTGCTGCTTGCTCATGTCGGTGCACACAAAGAAGGTTTTCAGCTCCCCTTTCCCCTTGACATTGATGAGTCCTCGACACTCGCAGGAGTAGCCCAGCTTCTGCAGCACGTCAGACGTTTCCTCTGTTACCTGGAGGCAGACACAGAACACGTCATGCACAGCTAAGAAAAGTTTACTTTGAACTATAAGTATACTACTTTTATATGTTTCCAAATAAAAGTGGGACCCTCAATGAATACATGTATCACTTTAAAATTTCATCATGACAACTTCATACTGCAGCTTTGGTTTGATTACATTTCTGAAGCAGCACCACTAGGAGGGCAAACAAATCAAGCATTGTCTCAAGTTAAAGTGCAGATTGCTTTGAATCTACACATAAATGAAATTCACAGCAATTAAATGCAGCTGCAAGGGGAAAGCAAATCAACTTGTGAGAGGTTCTTATGACTACCTATAGGTGGGGAACTGTTTTCTGCTGCTGTTGATATGGGTAAAGTATTAAATTCAGGATCTGATATTTGTAAATCCAGTGATTACTGTGCAGAGATTTGCAATACAAAGATAAAGGGCTCTGTGAGAAGAGATGTGAGTGACCTTTAAGAACACCAAGTGAAATATTGCAGTTCGTCTTTGTCGGACTGTGCTGAATATACCTGGATTTTTCCGAGCTCCCCGGTGCTCTCCATTCTGCTGGCTACATTTACTGTGTTGCCCCAGATGTCATACTGAGGCTTCCTGGCCCCGATCACTCCAGCTATCACTGGACCATGGTTTATGCCTGTGGAATCACACACATCTTATGTGACTATGTATTTTGCGATCAACTGTGTAGTGTTCATGTACAGAATTTACAGAGAAAGTAAGAGAGCTACTCGAGGTGAAACAGGATGAAATATGAGAGTGAAGGAAAATGAAATTCATCCATCGAGAGACCTCAGGCTGCACTCTGGTTCAGCTGGTAGAAAGGTGGAGATGGACCAGGGAAAATGTTAGCCATAATGGAAAAAACATTTTCATTAATTAAATACAGAGCTGTTGGTTTGCAGTCATTTTTTGCAAGGGTGAACTAAAATAGTGGTTGATAGAAAAATGTTTGGACAATATTTTGCATGTTTTAAAGAAATTGGATGTTTAAAACAGCAAACATTAAATGCTTCCACTTTTTCCACATCTTGCCTGGACATGAGACCTCTGGGTCTTGCTATTTGAGATGATAAAAGGCTGATTTAGTTCTGGCCTTGATGTGACTGGTAACTTCAGTTGTCATCTTTACAGCTGTAGAATCAAGCTTTTGTCATTTCCTTCTTGTTGCCAAAAACAGTGGTAATCACAATGAGGAGGTTATGAATGCATATAATACAGCCAATATATAACGTGATTCTTTACCTAATCAGACCCAGGGGTTGTTACTGACTTTGTGACTTACTGACTAAAGGTCCAGCACTTTACTTTTTACAAACAAAGAGTAGAGGTTCATGTATTTCGTTTCAAAGCTCCAAGTTGTTTAGACTTAGCTGCTGATAGGCACAGTGTTCTGTTAAAGAAGGTTTATACCATTCTGTGTTACATTTCAATGTTTATGCCTTAGGTATTTTTTTATCTCCCAGAAAACAAATGTTTTAACCAAAGCTTTTATCTAAGATGTCTGCTCACAATCAGCTGTCTGTGAGGAACTGTGGAAGGACTGCAGACAACAGACTGGGTTTCTCAGACTCTCAAAAAGGGCTGTCTAAATTAACCATGGTAATGTACATTACAAACAGTCACAAATCATATAATATACATCTCTGTCCAAGGTTACAGCACATTGGCTTATAAAGTTCACTCTGGTAAGATGGTTTTACCTTTACCACAGACCTGAGTCTGTAAAAACCTTACAGTCAGTGAACGCTGCTGCTGTCATTGCAAGAACACAAAACAAAGGCCAATAATGAAGCATGTAACCAAGGAAACGTTGGGTTATTGTGTGAGCCCTAACACAGCTGGATACAGTGCAGGGTTTAAGACGAAGCTGCCAGGCAGCTGAGAACACTCACCCACACGAAGCCTGAAGCTATTGAAAGAATGTCTGTTGATACCATCCAACTTGCCAATCAGAGCGATAGCAAACTCCACCATGATCCCAATCTGGGCATACTGCCTCTCTTTGTCCTGAAAGAACACAAGTCAGTCGTTTGAGTCCACAACCTCATTATGACAGCTTGATAGCATATTAAGAAACACGTGACAAAACTGATTGGACCCTGGGATGAGCAGTAGCTACTCCACCTGGTTGTTCTCCTGACCAGGCGTCCCACTGAGCCCTGCAGCTGCCATGTAAGTGCTGCCGATCGTCTTGATCTTCTCCACACCACTGAACTTGGGCTTGGACAGCAGCTGTTGGGTTAGAGGAAAGTGAAATGAGTGGTCATCCTTTAATAATTTACAGTATTAACGCCTTCTGGCTTTTACATAGTAAGGTTTTAGCCAGGTAATAACAGACTGGGGCATTAAAGACACGACCGTCATGTATCACAGTGAAGTCCTTGGCAAAGAAGGGACGGGGTTTGAGGAAAGGGGTTCTGTCTTTGTGTGCCTGACCTCATCAAAGTCGGCGATGATCTCGTTAAGCAGCCTCAGGCATTCCAGGCCCTCCTTGTTGATATCGCACTCAGTATAAAATTCTTTGAAATCTGGCACCGAAGCGAACATCACACACACACAGTCATAGGACTTGTAGTAGAGATCCTGTCAGGAAAAACCCAAATGACAAAACAGTCACAGATTACTTCTCTTTCCTTATAGAACCTCCTATAACTACAACAACTCTCAGTTTGGGGCTAAATCTTTAAGATGGCAATGGTCAACAATGCTGCAGGAAGAAAGCCCGGAGCATCATCAGGTACACAAACTACCCATCTCTTTCTCTGCTCAACATACAACCTAAGACACTGCAGACTGGACAGTATTACCACACACAAAGCATGGTTTTATAACAGCTTCTTTCCAGCCACAGTCAGACTGATGGCAAAAGACAAATTGCACAGGAAAAATATATCTACCTCACCCCAGTAAGATCACAGGTTTTTACAAAGGCTGTACCCTAAGTTCTCCCTCGCCTCATTTTTTTATCATTAGAACATAAAACTCTCCATATCTGATATGAAAACAACATTTATTTATAATGTGTATAATGTTTAAAGTGTGTTCTTACTATTCTTTCATAATGTGTATTTTACTGTATTGTATTATATTTTTCACTCTACAGGGTGTTGGATTGTAGTTAGTGTTTTAAGACTTTCCTTTATAACTTTCTATTACTATTTGGTTGTTCCTTACCTTTCTTTTGCTGCTGACTCAAAGAGCTTGTGCATAAAGAATTCCTGTGCACCTGTGGTGTTTGTACATGTACAATTGGCAAATAAAACCTCTTGCATCTCGAGTCATGGAAGTGGATTAGGAAGGCTACACCAAACTCAGTGATAATAAGGAGAATTTTTAAAAGATCCAAACAAGCAACTATACCTTTTTATATGTTGACTCATGTCAACCAGTGTCACCACAGTAATAATACTATGCTTGAACTCAATATTTCCAAATAACCACCACTAGTTTTAGCACCAATAATTAATTCACTGGAAGGCATCATAGTGTGGAGTCACTGCTGACAAACATTCTGTTGTCATTTATGTTATGTAAGTTGTGTGCCAGCTATATAATGATTTTACTGTAGGTATCCTTTTTTTTACCTTTACAGCAAAGTCACTGTCAGTGAGAACCTGATGAGTTACCTCATGAGTAAATGTGTAGCACTGAGTGTGCCCAGTAGTATGTTTCACTGAGGGACAGGAAATTCCCTTGTGTCCTCTTGGTCTGAGTTAATGCACGTGACCTATACGTGACCCAATACTGACACATACTTGTTGCAACTGTAAAGCTGACAATGGGAATGTGCAATGATCACATTTACACACCTCACCACCATGTTTCTGTGATGTAAAATTGTAAATGAAAATACTTATATACTAATACAGCTGCCTAACTTGTGATACCATGATTATAAACTGAAACCATCACAACTACTGTTTATTTTTAATCTTCTACTTTTTGAAATGGTTAGAGATTGGTGAAACTTTCTGAGAACCCAAACATCATGGAATACATTAGGCTTAAAATATGTTGAAATGAATTACCTTATTCTGAACTGTATGTGCTTATGGTACTGCTGAGAGAAGCAGTGACAAAATATCAGATTTTGTTTAAGTTTTACAAAATTACATTTAAGCTATGGGACCATTATAGTACCTAATTTATATGTTGAGTGGTTTTCTCTCTATAATGCTGATAAATTGCAAATATGTGAGCCACTGATTATAATACAACATGAAGGGTGGCCTACTGGTTCCCCATTTGGGCATGGTTTCTTTTCATTACTGATATACAGTAATGTCTAGGCAGCTTGTTTTCAGACCCACCTAAAACCCTACCCTACATCTTGTAATTAAAGAAAGAGTTGGGGAAAGTCTCACCTCATTCTTTTTATTCTCCCCAACAAACAGCGCTGCTACGTGGGCTGGCAGCACGTTCTCCAGCAACAGGCGATTCAGGTTTTCCCTGGTCTCGATCTCATCCTGCTCTGTGTGATTCTTGTACTTTAACAGAAAGTCCTGACGGAAGCAGGACTCATTCTGGGAGACCGAAACACAGCAAGGTTAGAGCAGGGACAAAGAAGACCAAAACTTACAACAATTTTCACTGGAATGCTCCAGGATTTCTTGAGCCTAACTAAATAGGTGTTCACTTTATCTGATTGGGTTGTGATGGAGACGATGGGAAATAAGTGAAATGAGGAGAAAGAGGCAAAGAATGTCATTACCTGTTGTGCAATGATAAGCATAGTGACCAGGAATAGGCTGATATAAATGCAGCTCATCACCTGGGGGTGTTTCACCAGGCCTATCCATTTCAGGATGAAGTCATCTTCTCCACTGTAGAACAAAAGAGACCACTGATGCCTGGACTGCAGAATTTTACATTTCATACGTGATCCTTCAGTGTAACCAAAAATGATTAACTGCACTGTCCTTCGCAGGAACTGTCACTGGTCTAGTTGTTATTCCACTGATTAATATTCATTAATCAACTGCTCTGATTCAGTCACATTATTTAAAGTCTGTATAACCTACAGCAATCTGTTTCACTCAGAGAACTTATGTTCCTGTGCCAAAGAGGAGAAAGGTAAAAAGAATGGCAGAAAATGTTCCACTTAAAAAAACAGACAGGCAATAGGATTTTCTTTATCTAATACACTGAGTCCCACCTGCTGCAGTTCCAGCTGCTATTGGTCTGAGAATAGAGAATTTTTCCATAGTCCACAAAGAGTTCCTTCTTGATGCTGAGGATGATGACATAATATGCGGTGGAGGCCAGGGTGAGGAAGAACACTTTGAGCTCAAAGCTCACCCGCAGGAAGACTCCACTTGCAATGAGCGATAGGATAAAGCAGTATACAGAGTACTGAGGGAGAGAACGAGGGAAGAGATGGAATCAGACCTGGGACAAATAGCAGAAGCAACTTTCCACAGATTGTTAAATTGTGTAAGTGAAAAGAAGGATAAAGGGGCTCTCCACTGACTTTACACATGTAATTCAGTTTGCTCCTGATGAGGAGCACAATCCAGGTTGTACAAACATTAGTTAACATTTTCTGTGGCTTTGGGTGAGCTTTTCAAAGTCTAAGAAAATAAATCTGATGGAATCAGAGACAACCTGTGTTACTAACTGGAGGTATGCGGAGACATGTGGATGCTTACCAGACAAGGTTCTAACAAAAAAAAAATATTTATGAAGTTGTATTATGGGAAAGGGGATCCAAGGTTTTTGGGGACCGACTATGGGCTGAAAGTCGGGATACTGCAGTCTCTACTGCATTGTTTCAATCTTTCTTTCTTAATTTAATTCTCAGAAAGCCATGAGGTCTTCTCTGGCTTTTCATTAAATGCATGCGTAGACTATTGGTTAATAATATTTAATCCAGTCTCATATGAAAAAATATAAATAAATATTGCCATTTTATTATTGTCTGTGATTAACAAATCCATCACTCACAGGCAGCCAGAAAAAGGATCCCTCTGATCCCCACTCATGTGAATGATTTGTGCGACACAGGTCAGCAACACCCTCCTGGACATGTGTCTGGACGATGCACTGTGGGGGGGCAACAGATGGAATGGTAGCTATGAAGTGCAGCACAACTAGAAATAGCACAATATGTAATGGACCTGTTTTAGCTCTCAGCGTGTGACTTTAACATTACCAGGTTGAACACTGCCAAGACGATGATGACCGTAGTGGTGATGGTGGCCAGAGGGAGGCGCACACATGGCTGCTTCACCACCGCTTCTGACACAGCTGGCAACCACTGGCACCTTGACAGCTTCTCTGGAAACAGGTGCTGCAAAGGTTAAAGAAAAGCAAGGAGAACCATGAGGGAATACGGATCAAACAGGTATGATGTGCAGTGACTTTTACATTCACTTATCCCCAAGCATCATGTGTGAATGACTCAGTGTCTGAGAAGGGAAACTGCTCGTCAAAGACCTAATCTCAAGTGTCATGCTCCAAGGTCTATATTTGACTTCCTTTCTGTGCAATCTCATCTGTACAGTGATGGTTCAGTAATACAGCCCAAATACTGGGGAGTAAGGTTAAGAAAAATAGTGATTAAAAGGACTTTTTCCTGAAGACTTCCTGTATTTTAAGGCATTTGTGTGGCCTGTAAATATAATGTATAAAGATTTTACATTTAATTTTCCCCTCTCATGCACTAGAAAGTTAAATTAATTGAATGCCACTTTAGAGCAACACCTGTGAGCCATACACATGTACTGTGGGTCAGGGCTAGGCCAGCATTATACAATATGGGAGTTTAACACATGTAGAGAGAAAAACTACAACCCTTTTAAACTGATGTTTGAAATGCATCTAGTGTGGCTTGAAAAGTTGCTGTGAAGAGGTATGGAAGGGTTTCTGTGTCTGTTCATTGTGGTTTCTCCACTTCCTATAAATGCTAACTGGGACAAACTGCCTGAGAAACTTGCACTGAATCACCTAAATGTCCACATGTTGAATGAGAATGTTAGACATGGCACACTAACCTGTAGGTGACCCGCAAAACAGATAGATAGGATCAGCAGCAGCACACAAACCAACACTCCAAATGACATCCCCAACATCTGTCGACTGAGAGAGATAAACACCAGAGTCAAAAATCAGTCTCCACCCACCTTTCTTTTTCCCCATCAGTACAACTATCACCTTCAAAATATGCTTTTGAAATAATACATGGCTTATGACAAATCTGCTTCATCTCAGAACTCAGGGACAAAGAAAAAAGATGTTGTCTTCTTTAGTTTCACTTGTTTTTAAATAACACATGCCAACGTGTTCATACTCACTTCTTTGTGACAAACATCTGAACCAAAAAGATGCAAAGGAAGATGAAGGTGGCACAGCCAACATAGTACTTGAACATGGGTAAATCCAGGGCTCGGTACTTAGAAGAGGGAAAACAGAAACACCTAAGCCTCTTGACCAGCTTCAGGATGCTTGAATGGAAGCGATGACAATGTAGAAAAATAAATGGCTTCAGTGATAAGTGTGCAGCTTTGTGTCCAACTAACCTGTTTTTCAAGATCTTTCTTTGGAAACCACAGAGCTAAACTGCCGGTCTCTTCAGACTTAGACCACTGCCTGAGGGACCGTAAGGGGGGGGGGGACAAGAAAGAACAGATAACTACTATGACTTCTGCACTTCAGATGTCATAAATCTGTGCCGAATGTACCATTCTAAAGGGTAAATTAGCACTGGATCACATGGGCAACAGCTGTCCCATTGCTTTTAACTTGATAACAAGCGAGGTCTTGCAATATGAGTAGTACGTACGCTTTGTTTGCCGAGCGTCACAACACAACTGAGCCGATGGTTCTCATGCCTTACTCATATAGTCAACATCTGTACTGCAACAATGGCCCCGAAGAAGACAAAATAAAGTTTGAAAAGAAAGGCGGTAAGAAAAAGGAGATGATTACAGTGGAGGTTATAAAGGAAATCATCGAGAAGCATGAACGAGGTATGTGAGTGGCTGACATCGCAAGATTTTATAAGGGAGATGTGTAAAATGTGGGAAATGGTGCAAATTTTTGTGGAAATGCACCACCCGAATAAGGTTGTAGCAGTGCAAACAATAAATCTGTTTAACGACAATGCAATGCCACATTTCCGCCAAATCCTTAAAAAGGATGCAAAAGCAAGTATCACTGGATAGGTTCCTTGTTAAAGTAGCACAAAAAGATTTCAGCGAGCCAACAGATAGCAGATAGCGCTTCTCTTGGTCTCCCTCATGCCACCCATGATTCTTTTCAAAGGTAAAATGCAGGTTAATTTGTTTTATTTTTTACTTTATTTTGTATTATTGTAATCATTTTTATATGAATAAGTGGTTGTGGAACAAATGATCTGAGTTTCCATTATTTCTTATGGGAAAATTCACTTTGATATACGAGTGGTTTGGATTACGAGCATGTTGCCGGAACGAATTATACTCGCAATCCAAGGTTTTACTGTAGTTGCATTTCCACCGGAGCAACCAGGGTCTAAATTTAATTTCGGGCCGTAGTTTTACTCCCCAAAAGGTCCCTAGTCAGGGGTAGTAGTAGTATTTTCTAAAGGTCCAAGAACTATCATATAACCATATAATTCAGTGCAGATTTACCCTTTAAGGTATTCTTCATGCATGTTCAGCTATATTATTTTATGAAATGCACTACATGCATACAGTGTGATTTCATTTACTGTAAACAAAACATAAAACAAAAGAACCTACTTGCTGCTGAGCTCATCTATGGTAGTGATCATCTCATTGTGCAGCTCCTCATCAAACCTGCTCTTCTGGGATTTGTTCCTGTACCTGGCACAGAGACACTTACTGTAGAAGAGTCCGACGGACAGACACTGATATACACAGGCTGACTGGAATAGATCGATGCTGGGAAACCAGGATCAGGTCATGCAGGCTACTCGGGTCCAAATTAGCTGTTCTTGGAGGCAACATGGTTAATGCCATTCTGAGCATTAGTGGGAAAAGAGAAACAGTGTTTATGCCTGTGAGAGAGTTATGTAGAAGGAGCGTGCTTGACACAGAATGCTGTGTGTTAGATGATCTCTGTGGGATTCAGCTGGAGTGTTTCTGCCGCATTTCTGCTTGGATACTTTATCAGGAAGGAAACACTCTCACAGATGCACAGACCCAGACACACACAAGCACCGCTCAGTGATCAGTGTTAATAGGAGGGTGTCAGTTCACTAACTAGGTTACTGAGTTTCTGGTGGCTTTTGAGATCACACGTTGCCCTGTTACAAAGAAGTAGCAGTGAAGAAAAGATCAGTATTGCACCACTGTTCAGGTTAGTGTTGGGACACCAAGGCTCTCCACTAAGGCAGTAGTTCTCATCCTGGGGGATCGGACACCACAGAACATTTTTTGGGGTGTTGGGGAGTCAAATAATGGTTTATTGTAATGTGTTAGCTCTTTTAATTACTCTGATTAATGAATCATTTCACCTCTACCCCCACATAAAATTAATCACTTCAACATTATATTGGTAACTCTTTTTGGGAAACTGCAAGAGGCATAATGAATGCTAGGTAGTAATATGCAATTTTTTTTAAAATGGTGGAAACTTAAAACATTTATTTACAGATTGGGGAAGCTCACTATCTTCTGTATTCACACTTTGAACAAGTGGCACTGAACAAAAATAAAAACATTTTTGTTTCTTTGGGGGTGGGTTATTAGCCAAAGGTTGAGAAATACTGCACTGGGGGAAAAAGGACCTTGCAGGGCCACGAAGGCTCCACTCACTTAGAGCTGCTGAACGGAGGTGTGGGCAAGGAGAATGGCTCCTCTAGAGACTCATCGAAGCTGCCAGGGCCCAACAGTAAGACACAAACACAAATTCATCATGTCAGAACAGTGAAGAATTAAAAAATGCAGGGCCCATGAACACATAAAGGTGAAAATCCATCTAATAACAGCGCCAAGCTTGTGAACAGGATCAGCATACTCACAACTGTTAGTTTTAGCCATGGAAATAAAAAATATTATGCTCTGTAATGTCAACAACCTTGTGTGTGCATCTCATTTTGCTGTCACTTCAGCCTCATACACATTCACCAGTTGCCGCCTCTGCTACAGTCAACTGTGAATACATGAATGAAATTAGCAATTTCCAAGATAAAACAAACCTCCATTCTCCCAGGGTGGAATGCTTGTGCTTTTAGACGCACTTATCTCTAATCACATTACTCCAGCCCACACTGTTTGTGTAGGTGAGTCCTGCCAGATAATCAGTAGCTACATTTTAAATATTTGTCCATACATTTACTGCCTGTGCCTGATGGGCAAATAGAATTAAAGATTATAAGCTATAATAAATTTGTATATGCATTATTTGAAGCTAATGGAGGGGCTCAGCTCAGCACCGTCTCCACTCTGCAGGAAAGACCAGTGCAGCCACAGCTGTACGAAGCAGACTCTCAGTGATGATGCTCTGTCTGGGAATGCTTTATTTTCAGATTCACACTCAAACACTCCTTTTGCTTTGGGAACAGAAACTGTGTCATTGTCAAATAATGTTTGATTTTAAAAGTTCACCTTCTCTGGAATGGTTATGTTTTTAATTGCTTAGAAATAACTCATTAACAGGCAAGCCTAAACATGAGCATATTATGCCTTTTCTTTTGTCCTTGCACTGGATTCCAGTTCATTACAGGATTAATTTTAAAGCATTAAATGTTTATGTTAAGAATGTGGGGTGTCAGAATAATAGTAGAGAAAAAGATTTATTAAAGATAAATTAAAAATATTTCAGCTTTTATTTCTTTTATCACATTCCCAGTGGGTCAGAAGTTTACATACACTCGGTTAGTATTTGTTAGCGTTGCCTTTAAATTAGTTAACTTGGGTCAAACATTTCGGGATGCCTTCCAAAATCATCTTCCTGACAGAACTGGTGGAACTGAGTCAAGTTTGGAGGCCGCCTTGTTCACACACGCATTTTCAGTCCTCCCCACATATTTTCGATTGGATTGAGGTCAAGGCTTTGTGATGGCTCCAAAACCTTGACTTTGTTGTCCATAAGCTTTTTTGCTACAACTTTGGAAGTCTGCTCAGGGTCACTGTCCATTTGGAAGACCAATTTGAGACCAAGTTTTAAACGTCTGGCTGATGTCTTGAGATATTGCTTCAGTATATCAACATAATCTTCCTTCCTCATTATGCTATCTATTTGGTGAAGTGCCCCAGTCCCTCCTGCAGCAAAGCCCCTCCACAACATGATGCTGCCACCACTGTGCTTCACGGTTGGGATGGTGTTCTTCAGCTTGGAAGCCTCCCCCCTTTTTCTTCCAGATATAACGATGGTCATTATGGCCAAATGGTTCAGTTTTTGTTTCATCAGGTGCAGCTGCAAACCATAGTCTGCCTTTTTTATGGCGGTCTTGGAGCAGTAGCTGCTTCCTTGCTGAGCTTTTGGAAGTTCCCCAAAATGTTGCATTTTTCATTTGAAAGCATTAACTAAGCTGATTATATTGACACGAGATCTATCGACCGGTCGATCACGATCAACGTATTGGGCAGCCCTGTTGTAGATGGTCTTATACTTGTATAGCACTTTTCTATGCATTGCAGCACACTCACAGCACTTTCACACTATTTGGCCATTCACTCATTCGCATTCCCAAGCACTCACACGTTCACATCACCAGGAGTAATTGGGGGTTCTGTGTCTTGCTCAAGGACACTTCAACATGTGGACTGGACATGTGAATCGGACTGCTAATCTTCCAGTTGGGAGATGATCCACTCCACCTCCTGAGTCACAGCCGCTGCTGTAAATGTGCTATACAAATAAAATTTGATTTGATCACATTAAAGTAGCAGCATCTACTGGGGTATGTGAAAGTACAACACACCAAAGGTGCCTGTATCTCTTCTGTAAATCACCCTAGATAAGACCATCAACTCTATAATTCACATTTAAAATGTGCATATAAGATAATGCAAGCCAAAAGAAAAATCTTTTGTGTAACAAGTTATCAATCAACAGAAAACTCTTAAACTCTTGATTACTGCCAAGTAGTGACATAATTCCACCAGTATTTCTAAGCTCCCACAAAATACACCCCATTCACATCTAGGGTATATGTGTGTGAGCACACGTTGGGTTTCACATTCACTATGTTACAACTGAATATACCTTAAAAATATGAATATTCACCAAATGGGGTTTTAACATGTAAATTCAATGTGTAGCTACTGTAGCAGCATAAACTTGTCTTACCTCTCAGTTATGTTGATGCTGGGTGCTGATCGCAGTGGAATGTCCTGGAAAAAGCAGGGACAACATTCACCTATCCAGAATGCATGGTAACCTCTGTGGTAAAGGCCACAGCCATCTAAGCTCATAGTGTCATTGCCATCTACAGCAGTAGTGGAAGATGTATGTAAAATGATCACATCAAAATAGACTTGCACTGTAAGTCTTCTATATTTTTTATTCTCCCCAGCTACATAAATGAGAGGGTCAGAATATTAGGAACACCTCTGAATATAATGTAGCCCAGTACAACACCACCTTTAACTATGACCTCAATATAATAACCATACAATTGATTTTATACATTTATGACAATTTCACCAAAAAGTGAAACATTTTGAGCTTCATAAACACAGATGTTAAGACAGAACTGTTGCACTTAAGTGCATACAATTGTACATGTGTGAGTATTAAAGTGGCAGGTCAGTCTATGTCACATATGTAATGAGAAACATGGATGCATTCTAAATCAGATCATCAATTAAAACAACTTGAAAGTTTCTTTTAATGTTTGCTTGTAAACGGTGATAAACTTTCTCAAACTTTTTTCATTATATGTAGAGGCACAGTACAGCAGCATTTGCATATCAGTTAAAAGTGACCCTTGTTTAGTGGCCCACTACCTGTAGTTAAACATATCAGTTATTTGTCTGATTATGTCACATAAAATTAGTCCAGATTAATTAGCTGTGTCATATGTTGTCTGGATAACAACTAATAAAGATTTCATTATTTGCTCACCTTACAGCCGGGTTTGCCATTGACAAAGCTGTCGGCGGTGTAGCCCTCTCGGCTCTGGAGGTGGGCAAAAGGTTTGACAGCGCCCCAAGATTCCAGGTAACGAGTCATACGTACAGATGCCCGCATCTTCAGACCATCATTCACACGAGGTTTAGGTGCACTACGGCTCTTCAGTGATGGATCCTTAGACTTATGACACACACAAAGTTGTACAGTACATTACATGGTGTACATTATCACCATAAGCATTCAGTTAAAACTCAACAGCACATACATTAGACTATGTTCCTATATTATAAAAGTCACTAAGGGGCACTCAGGGATAGAACAGCTCAACTAAGGTTGTGTAAGCCTCTAGATCCATTAATAAATGAAAATGCTAAGAAGTTTTTAACTTGGATCTGCATAAATTTTTGGTAGAGGTTTTGAAAAGTGATTGCATAGATGCAATTGTTCAATACTCAAAGGAATTATGACAGTTGACATCAATTAGGCAACTGTTGTTTGGGCTCATCTGAATATACTAAATCTGTTGAAGACTGGAGAACATTCATGGGCAGAATAATGAAAAATCTTCTGGCAAAAAAAAAAAATAAAAAAACAACAACCTCAACAAAATACCAGAGAATCTATTTTTGCAGTAATACAAATGGCTTACACTGACAGATCTGTCTTGAACCCAAAAATGTATAAGAAAAAGGACTAGGCCTGTATTATTCACAGTTTAACTCAAAGCAACCACTACAGAGCTATCCATCCATCCATTATCTATATCGTTTATTCCTGAATAGGGTCACAGGGGTGCCAGAGCTAATCCCAGATGACATTGGTAGGTGGGGTACACCCTGGACAGGTCGCCAGTCTATTACCACGCTGACATATAGACAAACAAACACACACTTGGAGTCGCCAATCAACATAAGATGTATGTCTTTGGACTGCGGGAGGAAACCGAGTACCCGGAGAGAAGCCACTCAGGCACAGAACATACAAACAGAAAGGCCCCACATTTACATTATGATGGTACTTTTGTCAAACATTAGAATTAATACTGTAGGGGTATAACAATTCTCCAAATCTACATTTTGGGCCAGACCTGTTTTGGGGGGAGGGGGGGTATTTCTGGGTTTTATTAAATTACCATAAATGTTTAAGACTAAAGAGAAGAATGCTAAACAGCAACTTAAAGCAAAATTTGAAATAATGTGACTTACATGTTAGTGTTAATTATGAAATAAAAATGAGCTTTGTTAAATTATTAACGTAATGAGAGTTGAGTTTTAGAAAATAACATCAGTTCAAAAAAGGAGAAAACACAAACTACAGTACAATGATTACAATTATTTACATGATTATTTTTCTCTTCACAACATCATGTCTCCAATTACTGGTTATAAGCAAGTGTTTACAAATTCTACATATTTCACACTCCTTCCATCACAGTTTGCATTTTTATAGAGGATGGACAGAGGACTCACTCGTGGATCAATGACTAGGTAGGTCCGGACATTGAGTTCTTTTAGGTAGAGGTCCCTGAGGTGGCCATTGCCCTCTTCCACTTCATAAGCCTTGTTCAGGTGCTTCAGAGTTGCCTCTGTGATGTGGACACGTCTGACCCAGTGAGGAAAAGAGCAGGAGAACCAATGAAATACTTGGCATGGCATAGATACAGTATTTCTAACACTCAGTGGTGATTGGAATTATTCACTTATTCAGTCTATTTGATCGCAGCATAGAACAAAGTTGCAAAGCTACAAAATCATTACGACTTGACACATGCAAAATTATTTACTGGAACAATGATTTTACTTGTTTTATGCTGTTAATTTTATCATAGTTGAACTGTCTATATCAGCCTGTGCATGGTAGTGAAAAAGGAAAACAATATAAATACAAGCAAAATTTAAAAAGCTTGTAACATGGATACATGAAAAATTTATTATCATGTAGTATTTTCAAGATTTGGGGTTTACCGTTGCAACTGTAGCAATATTTCACTATACAGTATTTAAATACTGTCCTTTATATGTAAAGATATTAGCATCTGATGGCTGGCTAATGAGATTTCTGCTGCTAAAAGGTAAAGAAATAGCAAGTCTATGAAATAACATATTTATCATCAACCATGCAGTAAGGAGGGATGTGTATAGTTTTTAAGTTTCACGTTAACTGTGACTTTTGTAAGTTAACATGATAAAATAATATAGAAATGTATATATAAAGGGCTGTAAAACTTGTGATACAAAAGTAATACAGTAGAGCCTACCCTGGAAGGCCTCCCGACTCCATGTGATTGGCCAGGGTGACATCATGTGACCACACATCAAACTGCCACTTGCGAAGGCCAATAACACCACAAAGCACGTTGCCTGAATGGACGCCCACTCTCATGTTGATATCCACTCCTGTGGCTTCCCGTACCTGCCTGAAGGAGTTTGACAGTAACACTAAAGTTCACTGTTGTTGAAGGTCGTTTCTATATGCAGACTACAGTCCCTCAAGGTATGTTAAAAGTCTCAGTATAATCTACTGTCAGTTCCAAACATGGGGCCCTGTTGTCTATGTCAATATTCTAAACATCTGGTTAAAAAAGATCATCTACAAGAGCCAAGTCAGATTTCCTTAGACATTCTTAATGTTGCAATACATTCTTTAAAATGGCAAGTCATTTTCAACATGTGCCACCCAAATCATTACTGTAAATGCTTTTAAAATGCAGTTTTCCCAAAAACTAAAGGTATGACTGAGAATGACTCACTCTACAGTTTACAGAATATACCACACTATGTTCTGAGAGGTTCCACACAGTTTTAAACATATTATATCTGCATAATTCAGTGACTGAGGGGGACAAAAACTCACTTAATGGCTTCACACATGTCTAGGCCCATTTTGACACAGTTCTTGGCATGTTTAGGCAAAGAAACTGGCAGCCCTGACACACAGTAGTAGCAGTCTCCAAGGATTTTGATTCTCATGCACTCATTTTCCTATAGACAACAAGAAAGAAGAAAAGACAAACTAGAAAAATATAGTAACATATGTAAAAATAGAATTAAAGGCCACATGGTAGTATCATCTAGTCAGATTTCCATTTACATGTCTGTCTAGACTCATATGTAGAGAGGACTGAAAGGCGTTAATTAAATATATTGATTGCATTTTTAATTTGAAGAAATATCCTTAAGGCAGTCTTAAGATCCCTCACACACAATAATGGGACAAATGTGAGGTCACTGTGACCTTTGACCACCAAATTCTAATCAGTTCATCTTCAAGTCCAAGTGGATGTTTTTGCCAAATTTGAAGACATTCCCTCTCCTGAGATATAGCATTCATGAGAAGGGGTCCAACATATGGACAAACAACCTGAAAATGTAATGCCTCCAGCTAAGACTATCACCAGTGGGGTAATCATTATTACAGCTACAATGTGTTAAACAGACAAACTGTCAACTGCAAGTAAAGCTTAAAGGTCAGTGTTATCTGTAATACTGACAAGAATAAACTACTCACCTTTGCAATTTGGTCAAACTTGCCAAACAATTCATTGAGCATGATGACTAGCTCCTTGGGAGAACAGTCACTGGCCAGTTGGGTGAAGCCAACAATGTCAGCATATAAAATACTAAATGAGAAACATAGTACAATGACAGACACAGACAAAAGTGCTCGTATACAGTAAATTCCTCCTCTGACATGTAAAATATTACATACCTTGCAAATAAGATTGTCGTTAGCCTTGATGTTTTTTTTTTTTACTAACAACTATTTTTACATTTATGCACACCAAAATAAAATACTAAAATTTTAATGATTTATTATAACTTTAATTGTAGAATCAAGACAAACTACAGTAACTAAAACCTCTTTTAAGTCCATGCCCACAAGGGTGAGACCTGCAAAAGTCAGGCAGGCTTTGTTAATGCTATACAGCTCCTCTCTACAAAGGTTACCTCACAGAGACCAAAATGATACTTTCAGGTTTAAATTTTAACACTTCACTTTAACACAAAGGACAACTGATGAATAGTGGTAATACAGAGGCATAAAAAACTATATGAAACCTTTAGAATTCTCTGGTTTTCTTCTTTAGTTGGTCATAAAATGTGATCTGATCCTCACTCAAGTCACAACTGACAGACACAATGTGCTTACAGTAATAACACACAAACAATTACAATCTTTAATGTCTTTACTGAAAACACACATTAAGCATTCAATGTTTTTATAAATTCAAGCAAATCTATAACCGTACTTCCAATCTTGTTTCACAGATTGAGCTCTAAGTTTGCAAATTTTTGAACAGCCAAAAGACTGTACAATGTCCAACCAGCAGCGCTGCCAGTGTGGGACAGGACCAAAATGTGTATGATACAGAACGGAGAGCAATTTTACTCCTCTCACACTGGGGTTGAATATCTTATGCAATCAGAGTCTGGAGTAGTGAAACCAATGAAAGACTTGAAACTGAACTGAATCTGCTGGTATCTAATGATGATTGAACAATAGCGTATTCTGGCCATGCTCTCAGACCAAACAGCCCCGGACATGCCCAGCTTGCCACTCAAGTGCACATCAGACACCATAACATGATCGCTATAGAAATCATAGTTTCTATATCTGACATAGTGTGTGGTTTGTAGAGAACATTTAGGAAGCTCAAATTGATGCTGGAGTTGGTTGAATGAAGCAAATTCAGTGTTTACGAACAAGTCTTGGATGCCAATTAATTCCTTATCTGTCCACAGTAGGTTTCACCTGGGTTGATATTCTAATACATCAATGCTATTGCGTTTAAAGCTGCAGTTTTTTTTGCAATCCACTTTACAAATCAACCACCTGAATGCTCTGTTAAACAATTAACAGACTGGGTGATACTAGGGACCATAAAGCTCACACCATAAAGCTCCAAATTTGGACTGAAAAAAGGCCTCTTTTCTTTGCATAGCTTTTTCAGCCATTATAACCCATTATAGCCCTGGAATTTGATTTTAGTTTTTCAGGCCAAAAGCACCTGACTCACCTCCTGTTAACCACCAGCAGACCTGATCAGTGACTGACTAAAAGGCCTGTCTGGTTCAATGCTGAATCATAGCCGCTGTTGGTCAGTGAACTACAGTAGGTCTATGATATCTCCTCTGACCTTTCAAAGACCCCAATGCACACATGGAAGAACAGCTGGAAGTTTGTCAAAAGCCCAACCCACACAGATCACCTGACTCCTGTCCTTAGCTTTACTGGCCACACTGGGAACTGACATTCTAACTGGTAAAACAATAAAAATGAGACGTGAGTGGCGTGTTTTGAGTGCTTCATCAGAACAGCTCTCTATCTGACAACAGGACAGCAGTGGGACAAAGAGTCTATTCCAGGCCGACCAACAACACCGGACAAAAATAGCTTTCATTTAAGATCATCAGGAAGAAATTGTGTTTTTATGTAGCCTATGGATTGATCAGTTTTATTGATTTTCCTCAGAGAAAGTGAAAGTGAAACTCAAACAGCCTGAATAGTCATAACAGATATCAGTAGAAACAGAAAACAACAGGACAGGATTTAAACAGCTGACTGTGCAGATTACGCTTCACTAATCAGCAGAGGGGAAAAAAAAGACATGAAGCATAAAAAAGCACGAGGGTTCTACAGGAGATGTGTGTCTCACTGATTCAGTGTGGAATGACTCATTTTATATAATGGAATTCTATCTGCTGTCTGAGACACACGTAATGTGTTTTTCCGGTAAGCCTCACTGAACTCACTCAACTCAAGCTCAACACACTGAACTATAGGTCACGCCAACAATTGTGTAATGAATGAGTTGCAGTTAAATTAAAGCTTTGACATGGTCATTAATAAAAGAATTCACTCCCATGTTATAATTTGCTCAAACTAATGGAGCTATGAACTTCAAAAGTATGTACTGTATATAAATATTCAAAACAAACTCATAAAAAATATCCACAGATCTCTGTGTGAGATGCACAGAGCACTACACAAAGGCTGAACTGAACCCGTAATGAGCCACACCACATCTAGCCATGGCTGATTACCAGCAATGGCTGGTTAAAAGTTGCAGCCTGGACCGAGTACAACTGTCAGTTGGCCAGTAGAGAGACACCCATACTGCACCTGAGATGACCCACTGCCTGACTGAAACCAGCCAAATACTGCTTCATAAGACAGACAACACAGGTGATGACTAGTCTGGCCAGGATAATTACAGGGATAGAAGAGATGCAGCCTATCATTCCACACCTTCTGGCTGTGATCTTAAATTAACATGGCATCACACATAACCTTCACCATCACAATAACCTCTTGATTAGCAAAGACCAAAAGTCTAGTGTCTAAACATTCAATCAGACAATATTCCTCTGATAAACAGAAGGTGGATATTTCATCTTCTGTCTTTCTGCCGTCAGTGGTGCAAGTTTTTTTATATATATATATATTTTATGCCAATATGCAGAACCGAAGATCGACCTTTCAAATTAATGTAATAATTCTGGGAAATATAAGCATGATTACAATATATTCTTACAGTTCATAAGAAACCCTATAGCACAATTCCCTTATTAAGGTAAATCAAAGTTTCTTACCTACATTTATCAGAAATAATGAACTGGTGAGCCATCTGCCAAAGTTCAGATTAAGCTGACCTGACATCTGTCATCGCCTCCTAAATTAATGAAACCCTCTTAAAACAAAGAGCTGTAACTGGGACAGTCCTTTGTAAACAAATAGGCATACTAACCTCCATCATTACAAGAAGTGGTCAGGAAAGTCTGCTTTTAAGGTGCACTTTTTCTTTTTACTTTATTATGTTTAACTGATGTTTTATGAAGTGACATGCAGAGAAAAAGCAAAGATAGATGTTTGCTGGAGAGAGATCGAGGAATGAGGAACAGGGATGAAGTAGACAGAATGGAAAATTAAATCAGTTTGATTTAATAACTCAGTCATTTTTACTTTTGAAATATGAATGTTTAAGCTAAAAACTGTCCAAAAAGATTTTTTTTCCTTTCAAATTATATTTAATGCATTGGTAAAACTTATGAATAAAAAGAAGTCATTTTTTGGAAAAATGTTTCTCTTTAAGATGACAGCTTTGGTTTTTCAGAAGTCTGTATTAGTGGTTTTAAATTACAAGTCAAATATACTGTATTTTTACATGTTTTCACATATGTAACCTTTAATTTAGCCTGAGAACCTGTGTCCTGTTAGCTCAAAGATACTTGTTACTTTCAAAATCTCAGGCAGGACAAGCAGTATGTTTCCATACTGTACTGTAGCTACATTTATACTTTACAAAAATTCTTAAATTTGTAAAGGGATCACTAAGATAGGCTTTTTGATCAGTAACATTAGGCTTTTGTAATCAGGCAACCCTATATACTATAACAACAATCAATAAATCTGTGATCTATGGCTTTTTCAGGATTTTAAAGTGGTTTGGGGTTCTACCTTACGTTCTCGTGCCTCTTGACGTAAAGGCTGTGGAAGTTATTATCTTTGACTAGTCGCTGTTGTTCTTCTTTGTCCTTACATTCTTGCAAGCGCTCCATGATTGTCAGCTTCATCTTCATGGAGATGTAGACTGGCAGCACAGACTGCAACAGGTTCTCCTGCAAACGCGCACACACACACATATTAACACACACAATTAGTTACGTAACTGCAATTTAGGAAATTAGGCTTCTTTAACTGATGCATTCATGAATGGTAAAACCTTGAAATGAAAAGGTCTGCTTAGGAACAGCCAGAACACACATACTCTCCTCTCACACACACACACAAGCATAATGACAAACTGATGATGTGATGACACACTCAGACTTCCACCTCATACATCAACATCTTTAATATCCAGCTGTGAATTTGGATCATCAAGCACCTGTCAGAGAACTGTTCACCTGACAAGACTTTTTATTCAATCCAACTAATAGTAAAAGAATTTGCCATGTTAGCTGCTCTCATCTCTTCTATGGCGCTATTGTAGGTATACGCACAGTACTAGCACCAATCTGTACCTGTAGTAGCCTTATTAGCAATTTGGTACTGTCCCTACTTCATTCAGAGCATGTGATTAGTAGATTAGTGAACTAGTAGATTCATACTGGTTTAATCATGAACTGGTATCGCCATGCTGCTACTGTAGCCAAATAATGGAAAACTTGAATGAAAGAATGTTGCAGACTGTGCCAGTATGTGTATAGCATCACAATAATCTAACACAATACAACATATTGGAGTCAGTCTGCCACAGAAGCTAGAGTCCCCAGAAGTGTTCAGAGTTCAATAGCTTGATGAAAAAAGGAATATGAAGACGTGACTTCTCAAGAACTGATTAATCCCACTTCAAGCCATCAGAGGGGTGTCAGGTTAGATCATCTCAATAGTCAAGCTTTGTCAAATTTATCTGCAAAATGCTTTTTAAAAGAACACTTTTTCTAATACAACAAATATGACAAATTTTAATATATGAAGAGTTTAGTTTGTGTGTGTGCATGTGTGCCAATATAAGCTCACCAGCCACTTTATTAGGTACACCTGTACAACTGTATGCACTTCCTAATATTCTGACCCTCTCATGTACTGTACGTAGCTGGGGAGACACCTCTGAATGTAGTCAAGTACACCACCACCTTTAACTATGACCTCAATAATAAACATACAATTGAATGTATACACTTATGACAATTTCACCAAAAAACGTAAACATTTTGAGCTTCATAAGCACAGATGTTAAGGCAGAAGTGTTATATTGAATTGCTTAGAACTGTACAGGTGTATGTAATAAAATCGCCATTGAGTGTAGCTGCAAGAAATACAGTGAGGAGGGTTTGGTCAGTTTTTCTTATTTACTCAAGATACAGAAGGTCAGGATGAGAAGTGTGAGTGTGATCAGTTATGTTCAATTAGCTACACAGATTTTCAAAGGGATTTAGTTCTAGGCTTCAGCCAGGGCACCTAAGGATGTTCGCATGATGGAACACAGATTGTCTTCCGAATCTAATATAAATGGTCTTATAGTTGAATAGCACTTTTCTACGCTTTACAGCACACTCAAAGTGCTTTCACACTACTTGGCCATTCACCCATTTGCACTCACAAATGCACACACCGGTGATATCACTAGGGGGTTCAGTGTCTTGCTCAAGGACACTTTGACATGTTGATTGGACAAGCCGGGAATCGAACCGCTAATTCTCCGAAATGACCCGCTCTACCTCCTAAGCCACAGCCACCCCCAATATTAGTATATAATATATGAATATACTAATATCTATTGAAGAATCCTGTTTTGCACTATTCATGGATCCTTCTATTTAAGTCAACGGGACTGAAAATACTCTCCAGGTTGCAAAATCATCTTAAGGACACAGACAAATGAAACGGCACCTTAACTTGAAGTGTTACAGTAACAAAGTGAATCTGTTTTCACTCAAAACATTCCAACTTTTGATTTATTAAAAAAAAAAACTACATAAATACATACATTAAACATGTATGTAAACTAAAAATAATCCATATTTCATCATCTTGGAATTTGGGATACGACAACACAAAAAGTGGGAGCGATTATGACATACTCACCTGAGGCAATGTACTGTATATTGTGTATGTGCGTTTGTGTGTAGGTGAAATTGCTCCACTCTGCTGCAACATGAACTGTTCTCCATCACTCTGGATTACCTCCTACAGGGTTTAAATGACCCTTTTATTTTCTTGCTGAATTTCATAAAGTCTTTGTCTACATGATGGTGTGCAAATGCAGACTGTCACATAAAATACTGTAGTGCTTCTGGAAATGTTATCCATTCTGTATAGATTAATACTATAAATTATATATTATATTTAACATGCATATCAAAACCATGAAACAAAAATCTCCCCTCATGCATGGATAAGATGTGGCAGGAAAAATGCAATCCAGGAACTCAAGTGGATGGTTGATAATAAAATACCTTTAATGAATATGGGCTAACACTTAAAAAACATAACATATATCTGCACACTTGCTTTCCTCAGGATGTTGGAGTGTAGAAGGATCAATTTCAGAGAATTTCAAAGGAGAGTATTTACGACACACAGTTATAAATGTCATTTTGTCATTCTTTGCATTCAGGAAACACTTCAAGGGAACTCACTGAACCCTTCCTAATGACATTTATCACAGTATGAGTTTCTTATTGGATCCCCATTTGGAGCAGTTTTGCTATAATGTCCCTGTTCTCCTTGGCTAAGTTTGTGTACCAGGCTCCCCCTTTTCAGCCCCCGTTCAAATACAGCCTGAGGTTTAAATGTTAACCATTAAATCGTTCCTTTCAGCTCCTTGTTCATCCTGCTGGGTAACACAGCAGCTTCCTTGTCAGCATATTTTATGTCCCATACTAAGCCAACAGTCATAAAAAATAAGAAAAGTGGAAAATATGTTTTTAAAACAGTCTCTGAAGTTGAATCAAGTCAGCACAGATGCATCTCATTTAAAAGGCATCACAGGAAAATCTAATTTGAGAAGGATTTGTTAGTCACAATGAAAACACCCATGGGAGAGTCAACATGAGGCCAGCCAACGGCAAAGCATCTTAAAAATGAAATAAAATGATAAGAGTATGGCAATACGGTCTAGTTATTTTCATGACTTGCCTGTAATGTGTTTCCATTCAGTGAGGTTCCTAAATTAAAGATGACACTAACACAATGGTACTAAAATGCGGATTATAGTTGCCTTAGAATATACAGTACACTTTTCACTTGTATAAAATGGTGGCATGCCAGTCTAGTTTTTTTAATAGTCAAATACTAAATTTATTAATTTTTTTAATATATCATTATTCACTAAGAATGTGTGTGTGTATGTAAACAGTGCCTCATCTTGTCTCTGATGGTTGTCACTATACCCTTCTTAATAAGGATCTATGTGGACTTTGATGAGCCAAAGGTCTTTATTTATTTTTATATAATAATCTAAAATGTATTCCAGAATACTTAAACAACGGTATGTTGTAACATACTCTTGTTAAGTATTCTAAAAAATAAAAAAAAGATTCCATACTTATCGAGTGCTGCTTTGACTGGCCAAACTTTGAAAGGATTTGGAAACTAACCCAGCCTTTTCGATTTAATAGCCAGTTCTTCAGAAAGATTGTAGCTATTCTTAGCACCAGTCTTTGGATGCCACTAACCTGTTGTCTCTTCTCTATCTCCAGCTTCATCCGCATGATCAGGCATCTCAAGGTGTCTTTGAAGGTTTGCCTCAAGGTTTTCTCCATCAGGACCTTATGGAAGGCTCCAACCATGCTGCCACACAGAAACACCACTGCATTGGACAGTAGCTAAAGAAATACACAAAAGAAGACATTAGAGCTCAAACAGACATTACTAATTTACTTTACCAATGGATTTACTTTTACATGTTGTTCATCACATATTTATTAACTAAAATTTTTTAAAAATTAGTAGGGAGTTTAGATGTATTCATTTTCTGTCTGTTGTCTATGACTGTTGGACATCTCAGTACCATATTCTATTCTAGTCTGCCAATGCAAATCAGAACAATACATGGGTTTATGCTGTTTAGTATATTATCTTTTCATATAACTTTTTGCATTTTATTCTTTCTGATTTCTTCAATTAAAGTCAGCATTATCTTCCAAAGTTTCAATGCGTAGTTTTAGTGTCTTGGTGTCTGAAGGATTTTCCCATTCTGATCATTTTTTGGTTAAATTTAACTACATCAAATATTGATACAAAAGTTAACTGCAGCTTCAGTACAGAAAGAGTAGCACTGACCATAAGTAAACTATAGTGACTTCAAGTGTTTAACACACTCCACAAGTACTGTACAAGCAATAGCCCCAGTCTGATATATTAATATTAGAGGAACATCTGGAATAGATTAAAGCCAAATGGCGTCACCTGGTTAGCAAGGTAAGGAGTGGGCTCATTGCTGTAAACGGTGAGGCGCACAGAGAGGGCCATAATGTGGGACAGAGAGGAGATCACACTCAACACCACAGCATACCACAGCTTAAATGGCAGCATGGTGTACACAGTGAAGATGATGAAGAGGAAGAAAGGCACCTGGAAACATAAAGGCTTTGTTATTTCAAGAGGTCATCTGTTGTGCCAGAGCTAAATAAAATTCTACTAAATGCTAAATTCATTTACTTATTTTGAATGATTTGGTGTCATAAACGTGGTTAGACTTTAACGTAACTTGAACTAGACAGCACTCAGAGTGCAACCTCCACCAAGGGCAACTCAATTTCCCCATAATGCCATAAAAGCAATATTCCCATGATAGTGTGACCCTCATAATATGATTGCTTGACCATGAAAACCTACTGCTGGTATCTGGAATGAAGCTGATATCATTAATAGTTTGAGGGTTATTCAAGAAAAATGATATGACAAACATTATCTCATTGGTTTAGGGGTAAAACAGGGACTTCAGTGAGTGGACTGTGGGCAAAGTGGTGAAGATTTCACTATTCTGCAAGTTTGTGTTCTGCTTGTTCAACAGCTGGTTGATAAACTGCTCATACAGTCTCCATTAGTGGAGGAGGGCAGCCCCTCAAAACCGACACAGAGGAAAATACAGTAAAACCAGATGGTTGACAGTCCCCGTCAAACACTGAGGTTATGCCAGGTAATGATAAAGGGAGGTACATGGTGTACTGCTCATTAGGTTCCGACGGTGAAAACGCACCTAGCTGGAACACCGGTGTTCTCACTGACAGACTACTGTGCTCCGAACAAGATGTAGCTGCCTGCTAATAGAGCTATCTTGGTCAGATAATGAGCATTCACATCTCCGAAAATATCAGAACAAATTCCTAAATTGGCATTATTTGGGCAGACTGATCACATATTCTCAATCTAAGCGGCTACTTTGTCACGTGAAAAAAATGTAAAAAGGTAACAAAATGGCATAATACCAGTCCTCTGGATGAAAATGATAACAGTTTTGAGCTTGGCTCAAAATCTCCCTCTACCATCAGGCTCTCGCCCAGCTGTCACTGCATAGAATAGATCTTTCTCCAGTTCTAGGCTGGTGCCTCACTGGACTCCTCCAGTACCTGTCTCACACAACAGGGTGGACTGAGTGACATTACTAAGTTCCCATTGACAATGAATGGGCAGCTTTCATTCACCCTGGGCATTGTCTGTATAAACCAGGGGTGGGCAAACGTTTTGACTCGCGGGCCACAATGGGTTCTAAAATTTGACAGAGGGGCTGGGCCGGGTGTGTTTGTATGAACTAATATAAATGACATACAAAAGCCACTACATAAAAGGTTTTGGCCTTTAACAGGTAGCAAAGCATGAACATGCAAGGCTTATTGTACAAATTATTCTCCAAATGCATTTTTACATAACACAGTAGAGAAATAAACCTTCAATTTTAGTGGGAACAGTGTTGTTGATCTCCCTTTTTAGGCAGTGCATCAAAGCCCGGAGTTAGTTTTGCTGTGGCTATTCTCAAGATAGACCCGAGGTGTTGGTCAGTTAACATGGATCTGTGACTGGCGTTGTTTATGTTCATGATGCTGAACGTCTGCGCACACACATAGGCCGAGCCAAACAACGCCAGCATCTTCTGTGCTGTCTGTCCTCCGGAGGTTTGGAAACGTGACTTTGTTAAGTGAAGCATAAAAGTCATTCAGTTTAAGAGAGTTGAACTTCTCCTTTAAAACGGAGTCAGACTGAAGATCGATTAGTTCCAATTGCAGCTCCTGTGGTGCTGTTTCAGGGTCTTGTGACAGGGGACAGGACACCAGCTGAAGTGACTTGTCAACTTTTTCAAAATCAGAACAACAACGGCAGAAATCTCCGTGCAGGTCGTCCATTGATTTGCAGTATTTCTTCGTGTTTCGGGTGGCCTCCCTCTGCATGGCTAGTGTGGGAAAATGAGTGAAAGATTTGTTTGAAATTTGTCTGGAGAATAAAGTCAGCTTGGATTTGAAGGCTCTCACATTTGTGTACATGTCATGCACAAACTGATATTTCCCCTGTAGCTTCACATTCAGTGTGAAAAAATGTCAACAGCAAATGCAAAGTCACAAAACCAGTTCTTGTCGCTCAGCTCAGGAAATACGTCGGATTTCCCCATTAACTCCAAAAGTGCGCTAATCTCCTCCTTAAGCTCAAACACTCATTGCCCAAACTTAACCAGTGCACACGAGAGTGGTAAAGTAAGTCCTGGTGATCCGCATCGGTTTCCTCCAGTAACGTAATAAACTGACGTATAAAGTTAACAAGTTTTAAGACTGTATTCGCGACATGATTAAGCTGCAATACAGACATACACAGAGATTCCTGATAAATGATGCAGTGATCTACCATCTACTGGGGAAAACGCGGGCATTGCAGGGAAAAGTCAAAACGAATGAGGTTTAATGATAACATAATTTAATAATATAATTTGGACCAGTTCGGGGGGCCGGATTAAAAAGCCTAACGGGCCGTAGTTTGTCCGTGCCTGTCCTACACCCACAGCAAATTTGATGAAGATGTGGCCATTAGTTACCTTGTGGAAAAAGGTGTAGAAGAAAGGCCCAGTACCAGAAATGACAAAAACTGGACTAGTCGAATTAGGAACAGAACATTAATAGCCATAATTTTTTGATCTGACTAGGAGTTTTTGAGATATTTTGCTCTGGAGCAACATGTGGAAAATAAATATAATTTGCAATATCCCTCACAAATTAATCCGAAAAACTAGAGTGAAAAATATTTTGCTGAGTCTGTAAATTAGCCATCAACCTCTGAGCAGTAGCTGCCTGTTCTTGCACTGACTGCTTGCTAGCGTAGTCAGCATGATTTGTGGCAAAGTGACGGCTGATATTGTATTCTTTGAAAAGTGCAACAGTTTCTTGGCATATCAAACATACAGCTGTTGATTGGACTTCAGTAAAAAACTATTTTGTTGTCCACTCCTTATTAAACACTCATCACTCACTGTCCACTTTTATTTTCTTTGGTCGCTCATTTTTGAAGAAGGGCAAAGTGAAAAAGTGATGGTAGAGAGGTCAATGTGTCTAAAGTGCACCATCTACTGGGAAAATGCAAGCATTGCAGGGAAAAGGCAAAATGAATGAGGTTTAATAACAATTTAATAATATAATTTGGACAAGTTCGGCGGGCTGGAATAAAAGGCCTAGTGGGCCGTATATGGCCCGCGGGTCGTAGAGCGTAGTTTGCCCATGCCTGCTGTATGTGATCAGAGTGCACAGCAGCGCAGCTGCACACTGGCTGTAAAGAGGATCACATACAGTTATCAGCCTTTCCAGCACTCATAATGGTGAATAATCTTTTACAATATTCTTTTATCTAAATTATGCTATGGATCTGTGCCAAAATCTAATCAATTGTTTTGTGGCCCATACCCTATCCTCTCCTAAAATTTCCTCCAAATACACTTATTACTTTTTGAATTATCCTGTTAAGAAACAAACCAACCAACAAACACATATTGTACCTTGGTGGAGGTAACAATGCTTCCAGAAAAAAGAAGTACATGTTACTGTTAAATTACTTTGATTAATCAAAGCTCAAAAGAATTTTAAAATAAAAACAGCCATCTGAATATTAAAAATAAGAAATGTTTATATTAAAAAAAGACCTTACACTTAGTTATTAAAATAAGGACATAACCACTGGTGCTTTCTCAATCTTTGTATGTGTTGTTGAAGATCTGCCATACCCAGACATGCAAGTCTGTGTGGCCTGCGAGAATCTTATTCTAAAAGTTGTGTGAAAAAAGTATAACCTTTATCTCAACCCTACTAAGAAATGAGATTACCTGGTCCCAAGGCAGGATGATGGGGCTGCAAAAGATAAAGGTGAAGCCCATAGTGAGGTGTGTGGCCCACACAATCAGGCCCAGTAGACGTCTCCATCGTTGTGAGAGCATCTCTGTGCACACCAGCACAAACACAGCCAGAAACACACACAGGCTACCGCTGACCACGCTTACAAAGGCACAATGCTCCTTTGCGCTCTGTTGCAGCAGCCAGAGAGAAGAAGAAAAATATTTGAGTCACATGTAGAGTCTGAGTTCCTTATATATATGTATGAGGTGTATGCACCTCATGAAGAGGTTTTACATAGAGTGCTACTGTATACAGCCATATTACAATTACTAATATGTGTATTTTTCAAAGTCATTTTTAAAACAATATTAGGTAGAGGGATAAAGAGACCATGCAACTGCTGTTCGACCTTAAGGAACATCAGCTGCAAATTGAAAAATGTTGTAATGTGTCAGGAGGGAAAGTCTCAAACATCATTACAAAGTAGACCCTCACCAACACTGAATGAACAGGTTTACAGGACATTTGCTTTACAAAACTACAAGCTACAGCCTCAAAGAGGATCATAAGGGCTTGCCCAGTTATTCAGTAGATAATTATTGTGTGTCTCAGTTAAAACTGAGGGTCACACTCAGTATAAGATGCTCCTGAGAGGCACTGAAATTCAGCCTGAGCACTGAGGCTTACATAGGATTACAGATTTTTTTTCTTCACATCTTGCTCTGTATCATGTCCTGCTTGCTCCAGGCCACCACCTTCATTATTGAGTTACTGTACAGTGAAAAGCATTAGTGAAAAAGACTGTGCAGTAGTGTGCATGTCTCTGAGTATGTGTTATTGTTTGTGTGAATATCTCTGTGTGGGGTTCATGCATGTTAAATGCATGTATGAAAGCACCAGTTATGTTTGTTCAAATTGTTCATGTGTGTGATTGTCTTGGTTTAAGTGGGACAGAGTGTGTGGGTGTTGGAGGGAGCACATAATGGAAAACAAGGGGTTAAAAGAGTGCTCAAGAGGGAGACAGGCGCACAATGTCAGTGTTAATAGATCTCTGCTCGTGTCTGCATTGTATGTTGAGCTTTGTGGTTACCATGGCAGCATTGGAAAAGGCCAGATCACAACTAAAGCACTTTCTACCCTCTGTGTAGCTGTGGGACTTGACAAAACCTTTTTGTACGCAAAAAAAGAACAATTATTTTATATCAATAAGCTAAAAGCATGTGAACAGATGCAGCTAATGTTCACGGCATAGCAACACCAAGGACTAAAACAGTCACATGAAACCTGCTGCACTCTTCTATTATTCCCACTCAGCATGATTTTTTTTTTCTTGAAAAGGGGATTGTGACCTGTATAAACTTTCAGTATTTATGTCTGCATTGTCGCTAGGTTTTTACTGATGCTTTATTTATTTAAATGAGACAGTTTTATCCAAGATTTTAGTGTGCCGTAAATTCCTGATTGCTTTAAAATGCTGTATATTAATAAAATAAGATGTATATTATGTTATGTTGTAATCAGCAGTGAAAAATGCCTCTACAACCAGAACATCATAATTAAAAGTAATTATAGACAAGCAAAGGCAGGGAACAAACCCACAGTAGCTGAAAAGTGATAATGACAAACCAACAGTCATGTGTGGAGGACAGTGACATGTTATAAGAATATACACTGCACAAACATCCTCTCACAGCTTAGAACCATGCAGAGCCACTGTATTTCGATAAAATTTAAAGAGCCCAGACAACAGGCTGTGTAATACCATCTCTCCATCTCCAGCCTGAGACCGGCGGTACAAGTGGCTCACTCAGTTTTCCTCTCAGCTATGTCGCTATTCATCCAATGTCAATGACTGGAGTGGAGTTATATAAGTTGACAGTGACTTTCTGACACCAGTAGCCTCCCCCTACCAGGCATCCTGCCCCTGTTTTGCATCTAACTACAGTGTTATACAAGCTCCATCCCAATGTTTTCTGTAAGCTCCTCTGTACCCACAGCAACTGTGTGTGTAAGAGAGACAGCTGAGAAGAAAGAGGAAAAGAAGAATTAGAAGGAGAGAGTAATGGTATACCCAGAGAGACTGAGTGAGTGAGTGAATTTGGCATGTTTATAGTCACAATTTAGGAGTAACTAAAATGAATGAGAAATTTGCACAACATAAAACTGTGTGTGGTGTGTGTGTGTGTGTACAAGCAAGAGATGAAATCACTGTGTGACTAAACATGAGGAGAGACTGTGTGAGAGTGAAAGAAAGATCTCTATGTACGGTAGAAGTACAAAGACAAGAGAAAGAGAGTGTGCTGCAGTGTCAGCAGCAACACAATAGAAGGAAGGTCATGATGATTTTTCCAACAAGGGAAAGTAATAGAATCTCCAGTGACTGGAGCTGTCAGTTCACCGTATGATCGGCCATACTGACTGACATCAAGCCAAAATCAACAGCATGCTGCTGATCAGCAGACGTCAATGAATACCTGCCGTTTCCTCTCTCTGTATTACACTTTCTGCACTTTGATAGCTACATTGTTTTAACCACCATTTTATGCTTTAGTTCTGTCTTTACTCACTTTACATTGTTCAGTTTTCAATCAAAACTTATAAAGAGGATTTTGGTTTGAAGTGCAGCAGGGCAAGTCAACAAACAGATCCAGTCTGTTGAAGTATTTTTGAGCAAAACTGAATCCCTGCTAGCTCCAGGGTTACTGCAGTTTTTCTGACCTCTCTGTAAAGACAGGGAAAACAATTTCCTGACAGAGAGGCATCATTAGCTATATTAAACATGTACTTAACTTTGTTTAATAGAGACTTCCCTGTACACAGAGCGACCTGTACCTTTATCTCATCCAGGGAAACCAACTGAAACATGCATGATCTATTTTAGCAACATCCTCCTTCACATTCAGACTGTTACACAATTACTCACTCATTCACGCTTGTCAGCAACTGCACTGATAGCGAAGAGGAGTTTAGTACTTTATAGAGTAGTATAATAGAGCTTTATTTAAAGTTACATATTGATTTTATTTTGTTTCATTTTATTTATTTTTGTATTAAATGTGTTTATTTAATTTTATTTAAAGAATTTTATTTAAAGCAAGTACAGCTCACATTTTGACAGCCAGTCTATGGATTCAAACTGGCCATCCAGTCATAACATGCGTCATTAAACATTAGGCTACTGTGATTGTCCCCATACACTCTCCAAAATCTTTACTTCATCGCAGTGACATCCTAATTGTTTATTTTCATCCTTTCTTTTGATGTATTTTTAATGTAGTATGATAATAATATTGTCATGTAATATTAACATTTTACAGTCTGAGTTTCGGTGTAACATATCACACAATGAAAACTGTCCAACACTAACAAGAACAGATGCTGACCTTTAAATATGTCATAGCAGGAAGAGCACTGTGTAATTCTTAACATTAATTATGACTGAATTTTAATTTAAGTGAACCAGTTCCATGGACCTGCTATTGTGAATGATGGCTTACTGGGCACTTCATTTAACAGAACCACTGTTATTTTGTCACACCTGTGAATTTCCTGTTATGATAAGTTAGCAAAGCAAAGTTTATTTATATAGCACCTTCCTAAGCCCAGGTTACAATTGGTTAAGGGGCATCTGTTCAGAGGTAGCTAATTCTTTAACTGTTTTTAGTCTCCTTAACATGAATGTATACCAAAGGATAATAATAATAATAATAATAATAATAATAATAATAATAAACCTTTATTTATACAGCACTTTACAACTCCAGCGGAGCACAGAGTGCTTCACAGCAGAACATGTATAACTGCTAAAAAAACACTACTAAAACAATAAAACACAGAATTTTAAGGCAGAAACAGTAAAAAACTTCCATATCAGGATACAACTAGAATAAAACAAGTTAAAAACGTCTCTTTGAAGGAGGTAAGACGGGTTAAACACCAAAGGCCTGTCTAAAAATTTGACTTAAAAGCCGCTAACTCGGTTATGGACCATAGCTCTAGTGGTCGAGAATTCCAGAGTCTGGGGCCATACACAGCAAAAGAGCGGTCACCTCATTTTTTGTATGAAGACCATGGGACAACCAAGGACTGATGTTCTGAGGAGCGCAGAGCTCTGCATGGAGCATAAATAGACAAACGATCAGACAGGTATGGAGGAGCGAGGCCATTTATAGACTTAAATACAAATAGTAGCACCTTGAAGTCAATTCTAAACTGTACTGGCAACCAATGTAGCAAGAGAAGATAAACTGTGGCTGAAAATAGCATAATACTAGAACCACATAACTAAAAAGTGTTTGTTTGTTTTTTTTATCTATAGCTTCTTGCTTAGTAATTATACAGGTAATCTGACCACAATGCATGTTCTCCCTGTGTCTACATGGGTTCTCTCTGGGTACTCCGGCTTCCTCCCACAGTCGAAAGACATGCAGCTTAGGTTGATTAGCGATTTTAAATTCCCCCTAGGAGTAAGTGTGAGTGTGTGTGGTTGTTTGTCTGGCGACCTGTCCATGGTGTACCCTGCCTCTCGCCCAGTGTCAGCTGGGATAGGTTCTAGCCCCTCTGTGACCCTATTCAGGAATAAGCAGTATAGATGATGGATAGATGGATCTGACCATAATGCTGTCTTTGATTTGCTTATCTGACATAGTCAATTAGCCACCCAATAGAAACAACATTCTCTCTGAGAGAAAAAAAAATGGATAAGTGCTGTTTAATAGAACTATTTTCTGGAGTATGATCACCAGGTCTGGTGTTTATGTACAAACTATCACTGTTACAAGCTTTAGGAGACATATGATCATAGCCTTACAGTATGTGAAGTGAAGTTATTGTAAAACATTTGTTGTGCAGCACTTGGAACAGTCTACATAATTTCATGCCTTACAGTACAGTCTGAAGCCAAATCTTTGTTACTGGTTTCACTGTTTACAAGCCATTATAATGTCTAGTACAGATGGGTGACAAATTAAAGAAAGAACCTGAATAAGTGAGTGGTTTCTTCCAGGATGACAGTGTCCTGATCCATAGAGCACAAGGTGTCACTGATTGGTTTGATGAGCATGAAAATTATGTGAATCGTATGCAGTGGCAGTGGTTTCCAAACTTTTTTTTGCTGGGAACCCCATTGTGGGTAAAATATTTTTGAGGCCCCCCTCACACTACCATACATGTCAGTTATAATTAATCCTTGCTACATCCCCCCCAACTTAACTCCAGGCCCCATCTTCTTCCCCTCAGTCTGGGAACCGCCATGCTACCAGATCTCAACCCAGCTGAACATCTATAGGAGATTTTGGGCCAACATTTCAGACAGCATCTCCACCACCATTATCAAAACACCACACCAGGGAATATCTTTTGGAAGAATGGTGTTCATCCCTCCAGTAGAACTCAGAGACTTAGAAAATCAATGCTAATGTGCACTGAAGATGTTCTGGAAGTGGTGGCCCAACACCTTATTAAGACATTTTTATGTTGGTTTTTCCTTTGTCACCCATCTGTAGATTCAATCAAAGCTAGAGTGTGGATATCTGAGCCGAGCCCGACAGGATCCATCGGTACCCGAGGATTCGGGCCTGCATTCGGACGGAAATTATGCAGCTTGATCCATGCTCTACTCAAAGCACAGCATTAACATCAGAGTCATTTGCCTTATTCCTTATTCCAAGATGAAAAGACACCAGTGAAGTTACTTGATTTGTGAAATTACTGAAACCACATAAGACTGACAGGAGAAAGTGTATATTCACAATGACCACTATTATTCTGTAATTATTGTGTATTACATTTAAGTGACCATGTGCAGAAAACATTCAGAAACTCAGCTTACACCCTGCCTTGGACTACCTAACATCATCCATTCTTCTGACCTGCATTTCCTCCAAAAATGCATTTCAAGGTCAGGAAAATATGTCATCACTGTGTTCCCTTTATGTTCCTGTAAATTGTATCCATGACAGGTCTGACCAGTTAATGTTGTTTACCAGGTCACACAGGTTGTGAACTGCAGTTGACAGTTTGAAAACTTTGGCTCACACAAGCTGTTTACAAACAAGTTGTACTATAAAGCAGGTTATATTAGACAGGTCACAATAATCTGGCGTCCGAAATCCACTGATATGCCTAGGCTTTCCAAAGAAATTGTCAAATTGCTCACTTTTTAGAGGTTCAGTTAATAATGTTTGATGTCTCTTTGCAGAGAATAACTATAAATCATGTGCAGACATTCACAAGGACCACTGATCGATGCTAATCACTGCTTGGCCTAATGACTGCAGTGCATCACAGTTTAATGTGCAGGTTTTGAGTTACAGTTAATGTTTTCTGTACAGAAAATAAAACTGATATCTTTTCCATACATTTATAAAACCTCAATGCTTACCTGTGCCTCACAAGTAAAAATTAAGCACTCTTACATCTGCATATGGTCAGTCAATTGGAATACAATGAATGTGGAATCTGCAAACAATTTATCATGCTCACTAAGAAATGAGGATGTGAAGACTCACCAGCTTTAGGGCAAAGAAGAGGATGAGGAGGATTCCACAGAAGAGCATGGAGAGGCCCAGCAAGAGCACCAGTGGCTGGTACTGACTGATGCAGGAGAATCTGCGGTACAGTGTCTCATTTTTCAGCTCCTGGTCATTCAGCAGGTACTTCCCCTTGGTTGGCATGGCTGACACTTCTTACAGAGGCATAGCAGGTGTTAACAAGGAGCCCCAGAAAGCAGGAGTGTGTGTTTCCACTACTTTGTGTGTGTGTAGATCAGAGGACTAGCTCACGACATTCAAGTGTTTTTTCTTTGACGTGGCATCTTGAATATTGCTGCTTCTCTCACAACTTTGTTGTAGCTCTCTTCAGTGGTCGTCTCCCTCTCCCTTTCGCTGCTCCCTTTGTACCTTCTATCCTCTCTCTGGTGTTGGCAGCAAGACCTGCTTCATCTTTTTTGTCGGGTACTGTGTTACTCCTTTCAGTGGGTTTGAGTAATAAGCCCGGACCATAGAGACAGAGAGGAGGAGGGAAGAGGGGCATAAGAAAGGGGAGGAGAGGGATACAGCGGAAGACCAGAAGGACAACAAGATTTGGTGAGGGAGGCAGTAAAAGCCATCAGTGGTCCCACCAGGATTCACAGCATTATGGAACAGTGAGGCTGGCAGCTCCACTCCATAGAGGCACCTGGAAGGAGTAGAGAGGGGAAGAAAAGAACCATAAAGAGGAAGAAGAGCTATTTTTACCAAAGGTTTGGTAGAACACACACACACACACACACACACAACCAAATGCTGATATCACTACCCAAGCTAAGACATTGAAACGAACAAAAACTATATTAAAATATTGTAGAAATATTACATTTCCCATAGGCATTCATAAAAAAGTATGACTTAAAAGAAGATTTTAAGTCCTTGATGTACATTCCCCCTTTTTGTTATATTGCATGTAAATCTGCTGCTGACTGGCCACTGGCCATTTGCACTGCTATCCATGTACATTTCATAAGCTATTATGCATCCCATCACCAACGCCCCTGGTGATGCTAACCACCTGACAATCTTCTTGTTATTATTTGCACTACTGTCGCTGTTTGCACATGGCTTTGAGTTTCATCATAGCCTATTAGGTTGTACCATATAGTTTATCCTAATTACTTTAATTCAGTTTTCATATTCTGTTTATTCTGTGTTTGCTTTTATTCTATTTTAGTTTCTTAAATGGTATGGGCATTCAACATTAGGTGAGAGAGAAACAGTATTTTTTTGTATGTCATGCACATATAGTGAATTGACAAAAAAATCTTTGATCTTTGATGTATGAGAAAAGGCAGAATGTAATCAGACACTTTATGTGACTCACTGAGAATGCTGTGGGAATGAGACAAATATCCAGCTCCTTTGATGAGCACATGCTTATTCATTCATACCTCTGCAATTCCCACAATCCAGAAAGTCCTCTCTCTGTTTTCCACAATCTTCATAGAAATTAGCCATCGATTGGCTGGGGAGCTAACGAGAGCAGCTGCACTGGAGTCAGTGTAATACAATGTCATTGAATTTACCACTTCATTCTCATCTCAGGTAATCTTTTTTTTGTGGATACAAATACACCTTTTTTTATTGCAACAAAAAATAACACATTTACAGGACAAAGCACATAACATAGTACATGAGAAAACAGACATCAACAAAAGAGTGAAAAGAGTGTGTGTGTGAAATTGTGTAGTGTGTGTGTGTATCCAACTCTAGACTGATATTCATTACTTAAGGGAAAATAGAATTAAACCAAATAAATTAGCAAAATGGAGGGGATATAAATGTAAAGGAATGAAAAGACAGTTTGATAGAAAATGGATAATTGTAGTAATAAAATAAAGAAGAAAAAAGCAATATAAATCCTATAATACATACTTTTGCATTCACATACTTATATATACACACACAATCATATATATGTAAACATGTTCATAAATAAATGAAATTAACAGATCTGTAAATGATTAATGAGAGGCAAGAGGAAAAAAAGGGGTGGGTGGGTAATATTCTCAGTTAATTTGGTTTGATTGATAGGTGTGACACTCAAAACAGTAGCATGGACAATGAGGACTAATAACAGTAACAATAATGAATTACAAAGCAGCCCTTTATATTTCTGGGAGTTTGTGGGAATGTGCGTGGCCTCGGCCTCAGGTGTCTGGTTTAAGTTAAAAGATGTTAGAAACGGGTTCCAAGTGTCAGTAAAGGTTGGTATATTATTCTTATAGGTGGATGATATTTTCTCTAGTGTGATGTGTTCTATGAGAAGGCTGGTCCAGTGGTTGATGTGTAATGAATTTTTAGATTTCCAGTTTAGAAAGTTTGTTTTATTGGCAATAGTTAATGAGATAAGAAGTGGGTTTTTATATTTAATTAGTAGGTGGTTGACTTCTCTGGCATTACCGAGCAGGCAGAGTGATGGAAGTTGAAAGTCAGGGTTATGCCTAATTGAAGTGTGTCTACATGGTGTTAATAATGATTTGGTGGTTTTGTTTGCTTTCCACCAGGCTGTCAGAGTTGGAGAGATTGTGATATTTTTAAAATAGTTAATTTTCTTAATTGGGTATGGTAGGAAGGCATGATCTGATTTTGTTCTAGTTCTATCCATGAGCTATTGCAACTATCCTTCTGAATCCACTGAACTAAATACTGTAATTGATTTGCTAAGAAATAATACTCAAAATTTGGTGCTTCTAGGCCACCTTTTGATTTGTTCTTCTGGAGTGTTGACAGGGAAATTTGGGGTTTCTTATTATTCCAGTAAAATTGTGAAGTTAGAGAATTGAGTGATTTGAACCATTTATCCGTTGGTGTTGTGGGAAGCATTGATAATAGGTAGTTAATTTGTGGTAAAGTTTTCATTTTGACTGTAGCAATTCAGCCAATGAGTGACAGTGGGAGGTTGAACCAGTGTTTGAAATCATCTATCTTTTTTTTTAGCAGAGGGGTGTACTTGAGGTTAAAATGTTCTGCAGCCTGGGGGGAAATACTGATGCCTAAATATTTAATGTTGCCAGTGTGAAGTGGTAGGGGACAGTCTTGAGCTGCAGAATCCCAGGCATCTTCAGAGAGTGGCAATATGATTGATTTATTAGTTTATTGTGTAGTTAGAAATCCTGGACAGTGTATTAATAATAGAGAAAGTTTCTCGTACTGAACTGTAGGGGTCTCGTAGATATAATAGTAAATCATCTGTATAGCGGCTAATTTTATGTTGTGAGTTAGTATCTTGTATTCCTTTGATGATGTTATTCTGACATATTGCTGCTGCTAGAGGTTCAATGAAAATGCCAAATAGAGATGGTGAGAGTGGGCATCTTTATCTAGTTCCCCAGTAAAGTGTGAAACTTTGTGAGGTTATCCCATTTGTGGTTATTGTAGCTCTTGGTAATGTATATAGCTTTTTAACTCAAGTGGATGAAAGATTCTCCAAAACCAAACCTTCGTAGTGTGCTGAAGAGAAATGACAAGTTAACTTGGTAACTGAGAAATAACAATGATAATATCTGCCAGAAGTGTTTATAAAATTCAGCAGGGACTCCATCAGGTCCAGGTGATTTATTATTTGGCATGGATTTCAGTGCTTTGTGGAGTTCTTCCAGAGTGATGGGGGCATTTAAAGTATCAGTTTGTTCTCTGCATAGTGTTGGTAATTTTATATTGTTTAGGAAAGTATCTATTTTAGATGGATTTGGTTTGTGATCAAAGGAGTATAGTTTGCTATAAAATGCTCGAAATACATTGTTAATATCCTGTGGATTATGAACAGTTTCACCTGCAGAGTCAAGTATGGATGTAATGATTGCCGTTTCTTTTTTACATTGTAGATGATTTGCCAAATATTTATCTATCTTGATGCTATATTGAAACTGTTCATATTTGAGTTGGTGGATTAGGAGTTGTGTTTTTTTTTTTTCTATCCATGAGCTATTGCAACTATCCTTCTGAATCCACTGAACTAAATACTGTAATTGATTTGCTAAGAAATAATACTCAAAATTTGGTGCTTCTAGGCCACCTTTTGATTTGTTCTTCTGGAGTGTTGACAGGGAAATTTGGGGTTTCTTATTATTCCAGTAAAATTGTGAAGTTAGAGAATTGAGTGATTTGAACCATTTATCCGTTGGTGTTGTGGGAAGCATTGATAATAGGTAGTTAATTTGTGGTAAAGTTTTCATTTTGCCTGTAGCAATTCAGCCAATGAGTGACAGTGGGAGGTTGAACCAGTGTTTGAAATCATCTATCTTTTTTTTTAGCAGAGGGGTGTACTTGAGGTTAAAATGTTCTGCAGCCTGGGGGGAAATACTGATGCCTAAATATTTAATGTTGCCAGTGTGAAGTGGTAGGGGACAGTCTTGAGCTGCAGAATCCCAGGCATCTTCAGAGAGTGGCAATATGATTGATTTATTAGTTTATTGTGTAGTTAGAAATCCTGGACAGTGTATTAATAATAGAGAAAGTTTCTCGTACTGAACTGTAGGGGTCTCGTAGATATAATAGTAAATCATCTGTATAGCGGCTAATTTTATGTTGTGAGTTAGTATCTTGTATTCCTTTGATGATGTTATTCTGACATATTGCTGCTGCTAGAGGTTCAATGAAAATGCCAAATAGAGATGGTGAGAGTGGGCATCTTTATCTAGTTCCCCAGTAAAGTGTGAAACTTTGTGAGGTTATCCCATTTGTGGTTATTGTAGCTCTTGGTAATGTATATAGCTTTTTAACTCAAGTGGATGAAAGATTCTCCAAAACCAAACCTTCGTAGTGTGCTGAAGAGAAATGACAAGTTAACTTGGTAACTGAGAAATAACAATGATAATATCTGCCAGAAGTGTTTATAAAATTCAGCAGGGACTCCATCAGGTCCAGGTGATTTATTATTTGGCATGGATTTCAGTGCTTTGTGGAGTTCTTCCAGAGTGATGGGGGCATTTAAAGTATCAGTTTGTTCTCTGCATAGTGTTGGTAATTTTATATTGTTTAGGAAAGTATCTATTTTAGATGGATTTGGTTTGTGATCAAAGGAGTATAGTTTGCTATAAAATGCTTGAAATACATTGTTAATATCCTGTGGATTATGAACAGTTTCACCTGCAGAGTCAAGTATGGATGTAATGATTGCCGTTTCTTTTTTACATTGTAGATGATTTGCCAAATATTTATCTATCTTGATGCTATATTGAAACTGTTCATATTTGAGTTGGTGGATTAGGAGTTGTGTTTTTTTTTTTGTATACAATACTTTCGAGTTGAGTTTTGAGGTGGGTCAATTCATTCTGTATTCTTTCAGTAGGGTTATTTGAATATGATTCTGTCAGTTGTTTTATGTTTAGTTCTAAATTGTTTTTCAATTTTTGCTTTCTTTTTCCTTGTATGATGAATATGATATTATTTTTCCTCTATTGCCTTTCCTGTTTCCCATAGTAGAGAGGGTGAGGTTCCTGGAGAGTCGTTCATCTCCAGCAAGAATGCCCACTCTTTGTTAATAAGTATCAAAGTCTGCATTTTGAAGCAATGATGTGTTAAAGTACCATCTTTTAAAGGGTTTAAAAGGGCTTTGAGTATGTAATTTGAGTGAAATAGGAGCATGGTCACTGATTATGATTGAATAAATTGTGGCTTCTGTTACATGTTGGATTAGTGAAT